ACAGGCTTATAATATTTACTCTCATATTTTGTTTTATATGTTCCTTAGAGTGTGAATTACCCAGCCTATGTTGTAGAAGGTTAGAGCATAAAAAATTGTTTCAGTTCAGTTTAATTTGGCTTGTTAAATTAACTTTCTCTTTTCACCTCTGAGGTAGTAGAAGACTCACTGAAAAATCTCCCCTGTGGGTTTTTGGGTATAAATTGTAAATATGCCTGTATCTGATAGAAAGAAAACAGAGTCCAGCACATGTTTGTAAAAATATAAACCAAAAGCTGAAAGAGGAAAGGAAAGATGAGCTAATTATTCCAGTTGAAGCTGTTACTTTATGAAAATGAAACTGTAGAGTTTTTGAGGTTTCTTTTGTATAATTCCTGTTGAATAAAGCTGGTATTGAAGTCCCAGGCCTTCCTAAAAGGACAGTGGGAATTCCTTGGCAAGAAGCTCAGTTGTTGAGGGAACTGGGATGCTTCATTCCTAGTCTCAGGATGCTGTGGGATTTTCCTGTTCTCCTTTCTTCAGCTTGCTGCTGCAGAGACAGTATTCCCTTGCTTTCCTTCAATATAATGCTCCTCTTTTTGCACGAGTATGGACAATCTGTTTTTTGTAACTTCATAAAGAGTATTGAAATTTGCCTTTTTTTTTTTTTTTTTTAAGGTTCTTCATTTTTCGCAGCTACTTACAGCAATCTGAATGCTGCTGCTGAAATGAAAGCTTTTGCATTCAGGTTCGTACCATTAAGAGAAGCTGCAAACAGAGGCACCACAGTGAAAGCAATTTGATGTGTCCTAGGTCATGTTTTGCAGGCTAGCATTGCAGCAATTCTTTAAGCAATTGTTATGTTCTAGAGGTTTTTATCTTGGATATAAGTTCTATAAAAGAAAAAAGGTAATTACCAGCTACAAGCAGACTTTGTTTTCTGGCTTTTTGTTGCTGGCATACTATGCTACTTCACGAGGTACCTTTTTCATTACCAAAATGTGTACATTTGCTTTCCATTGCACTGAGTTCAGGTTTCCAGAGGCCTGATAGCATATCTGTGGCCTTTGTTAAAAATGTTGACTGTTCATTCATGAATGATTAACAGGTTGGTTTTTTTTTTTTAAAGGCCCATATCTGCTTCCTACTGTTCCAGTATAAAAACTGTGTTGTGAAAATGCTGTGTGTGCAGTCTCTGTTTGAAGAGTGTTGTGTGTTGATCTTGGAAACTTGGTACTGCCTGTATGAAACTCTTCCTTATCAATTAGCAAGGGTCTGTGAGAGCAGACTTTTCTGAGAGACTGAGGTTAAATGTAGCAGATTTCTGCAGTATTATACAGGGCATTACTGAGCTCTGGGAGAAGTCCTTATGTTCTTGAAGTTGCCAGAGTGACTAATGGGCTGTACAATTTTTATTCGTGTTGTAGTGTCATGGAAGTATTTCTGCATTTTAATTTTCCTACATCACTTTTACAGCAGGAGTCCTTCACTGTTCTTAGCAAGAGAAAGTAACTTTTCCCTATCAAATAGCAAATGAGTGTTGAAATGTTTGGAGTATAAGGCGTTTAGTGTGTGCATGCATGGGCGTGTTGAAGGACGTGTTCTTGCAATTCTGATAGTGAGAAGACAAGGAGTCTCTTTGGGAAGATTTAATTCCTTGTTTATGAGCAGTCAGAGTTTGATAGTGCAAAAAAAAGGCCTCAGGGAGGGAAGTTCTCACTGGAAGTCCTGTTTAGTGTTTAGCATGTATTTAAATCTCCCTTAACTGTGTGTGTCTGATTTTGGGCATACATCCATGGAAGTGTTTAGGAACTAATCACTTCGGTCTATGCAATGCTTTGTCTATTCGTAATAATATATTGTCAGTGAGTAATTAATTTGATAAATGAAAGTTAAATTAATCTGCTTTTTGGCTTGAAATGATACAAGTTTTTTTGCAGAACCCAGTTGTGAACTCTCAAAATGGTCATCTGGAAGGAAAGGGGGAGGTGGTGCAGTGCCCAGGAGCTCTGCAGGGACATCCACTGTGCCCTCCTATGTGGGACTCCCCAGCCTCCAGGGTGGGGCAAGAGGGGATTGACCTTCCTGCCAACAATGGCGTGGAACCTACACTAATGTTAATTTCAAGAAACTTTGAACTTCCTAAAAACAGTTTTTTCTTATCAAGAAATAAGATACTGACAAAATTAGCCTTGGTAAGGTTGCGTGCTGTTGAACTGAGAAAATCCTAGACACAACAACATACCTCATCACGTAGCTCAGGGTATGAGGAAGTTTCCTTGTGTGCTACAATTTTATTAAAAATATTCTTGATAACAAAGTCATGTCCCTCAAAGACGTGCTTATGAGCGAAGCTGTGTGTTACAGTCAGATTGGCTTTGTATTTTCTTAATTCGTCACTGAGAGCAGTAATTTCCAGACGTCTTTCAAAAATCATGCAGTTCTCCCTGAAAAATCTGTTAGAAGAGAAAACAACAGGGAGTGAAAGTAGCTGGAGGGCTGGCTTGGCTGGACAGCCAGTTTTCTTGTTTGTTGTTGCTCAGGAGAAAAGTTCTCTCTTCTCCTTGAAAACCAGAAATTGGTATATTGAGTTTGGAAGCACCGAGCATTCAGAAGAAAATCCCTCATTTACACGTTGATATCATGTTACTGTTTCAAACATAACTTGTACCCTGCCTGAGTTATGTGGCAGGACTTTGGCTGTGAGCTCCCAGGATTGGCTGAGCACATCCCTGTCCTGCAGCTTCATCTGGAGCTGTGCTGGTTATAATGCTGAAATGGTTGAAAATCTCAGTGTGAAGCCTCTGAGCCATATTCCTATGTGTTCCTTGAGAAAATATTCCAAAGCAAAAATATACCAAGCATTCTGTGTTGCCGGCTTTCTTTTTGGAAAACACTTTTATTAATACACAGAACTGTTCTTTTAATGATGGCACTTAATTGTCTTAATTAAAACAAAAAAGTAGCTGTTAAATGTGGGCCAGACAGCGAAGCTGCCTTATTGCTTTGTGTAGAAGAGGAATTTCAGGAGGAGGTGAGGGTTGTGCAAGCCACCAGCCCCCCGTGGCAGCAGCCAGCGTGCTTGGTGGTGCCACTTCCTTAAAAGAGAGGAAGGAGCTGGAGGTTTGTGCGTTCCGTGGTGTCATTTCAATGACAAACCCCGTGGTTTAATGGCAGGATGGTTTATGTGGGAGATGCAGCTCTGCAGGCTCTCAGGACACCGGGGCAGAAACCGTGCTCTTGAATGAGGAGGCATCAAGATTCCTGCCCCGACATCTCAGGGAATTGGCTCGTCCCTGAACACAGCAGAGTGGTCTTCATTCACAGCAGTGTTGTTTATGCTCTTAGGGCTCTCAAGATCAACTTTACCAAAGGCAGCAGTTTTACCCTCCTCACATGAAAAAAAAAAATAGGAAGCATGTATACTTAGTAGAAAAATACTCTTTTATTGTTCATCAAGTTTTGTAACAGATTTTTCCTTTGAATCAGGTATGGGAGGATACTGATTGGTTTTGACTTTCACATTTTGCCAGTAGTGCGATTTTTTTTGTTTTGTTTTCAGCACTTGTGGTTTGCCTTAGATGTACTGTACTTGCTGTATCTGGTGTTGTCTCTTTTAAAGGCATGCAGAACAAGTCCATGCCCGTTATAATCTCATTAAGTTCCTCTCTAGCTGTTTCCCCATTTGGTTGTGGATATTGCCCATATTTGGTTCTACCTATGGTGCAATCAGTTTATATCTGATTGTGTGGTATGATATGCTGTCTTGCCTGAGCAAACCCTGATAATTTATGATTAGATGTGGCCTAGATTAGCATCTTATGATTTTAATGTTTAAAAGTACTTTATAAAGCTCTTTTATGCAATACAGTAGCAACAGGAGGCACAAGGACTTGCCTACAGCAAAGCTGCTCAATTAAAACCAAGGGAATGGTATAAATTGTATAGTTTTTCCTTTAGAGTACCTAAATATTGTGCCTTAAAATACAGAAATGGCAGTGCATTACCAGAAAACTCTTTAATTTGGTTTAATAACTAACTGCTTTCACAATCTCATAATCACAGCTCTCGTGAAAACACATGCTCTTACACTCTGCATGATGTGTTTGTATTAGACTTGAAAAATTGAACATCTGAAGCTTTATTTGTCTCTTAAACACTCTAGGAGCTCATTTGGAATTACTTGTGGTTTCAGTAAGTTCTATGGTCTTCTAACCGTAATTTCTGCTTTCACATAAGCAAACTATTTATTATTAAGCAGTTGTCATTAGTGTTTTGTTTTCTTGTAGGTATTTGTTCTACTTTTGTGCATGTATGTGAACAAAATCAGGTGGATAAGAATATCCACTTAATTTCTACAAGAACAGAGGGATAATTGAAGCACTTGGTGATGTTGCCTAAAATATTTTCAAATAAGCATGTTTGAAAAGGCGTACAGGTGAAGTGTCCAGGTGTTTTTCAGAATTTCTTAGTCGCAACACTGTGCTCATCTTTCTGACTGAGCTGCCTGTTTAGACCTTGCTGAGAATGCAAAAGTGCTGCTTTACATTCACCATGACTGTGTCAACAGTGAGGTGGAAAGGTTGGGGAACGATCTTTGCCTAACAAGTGGCATCTCAGAAATGCTATGTATTGTCTTGAGCAAGATCGCATTACTTACAGTTTCTGAGCAATACTTGAACTGTAAAGCTGAAGTTTTTCAGCAAGGCATAGCAAACATATAATTTTTTTATGATGATTCCAGTGTATTTCAAATCTACTGTGAGACATAATTATCAGCTGTCATCTGGAGATATGCTGAAAAATTTGTTCAGTATTAAATAAATATAGGTTGTGATATCTACCTTAGAATTAAGAATCAAATGTTCTTACACCTCAGCATTTTATGGCTGTCCTTTGTGCTTTTGTTCTTAACAACAAAAAAAGGAGTTTGTTGGTTTGTTTTACTCCTGTATTCTGATTTGTAAGGGAGCATTCGAAAATTCATTTGCTCGTTAACAGTGCATTTCTTCTCTCAATAGCCAACTACTCCACCAAGCCAAGGGAGGCCTGATTCACCAGTTTATGCTAATTTACAAGAACTGAAAATATCTCAGTCTGCACTTCCACCACTACCTACAAGTGCTCCAGTCCAAATAAATGGGGAATGGGAAACCCATAAAGACACGACAGGACGCTGTTATTACTACAACAGAGGATCACAGGAACGAACCTGGAAACCTCCGCGGTGGGCCCGGGATGCAAGCATTAATAAAGGGGATTCCCAGAGCCATGCAGATCATGAGGTAGTTCCTTCTGACATCAAAAGCAATGAGATTGTAATGCATATGAATGGCCTTTTGCTGTGGAATTTGCTATCTCTTAGTTTCAAGGTGTGAGGAGTGTCTTCCTTTGTTTTTTTGGTTATATGTCTTGGTATGAAGTAGTGAACGTTTTCACTCTTGAGTTGCTTTTGTATACAGGAATGCGTACATGAACTGTGTGAAAGAGTAGCAACTTGTAAAAATATCTGTACAAACAGCCCCATAGCAGATATTGCTACTTTTGACTAGATTACATTCAGGCCATAAACATATTCTTTAGGTTTATCAATGGATTTTTTTTAATTATGTAAAAGTTTTGCTTTTGCAAAGCCTTTTGGTAAAGCTTTGCTGCTGACCTTGCTTGAGGCAGTTGAAGCTTACTGTGAAGTTACTTATGTTAAAAGATTATTTGGACTAATATTTCAGGTGCAAATTTATTCTGTGCAGCCAGTTGCTAGGGAAAGTCTGATCATATGGGGTGTGTTTATCTGAACTGCAGTGGTTCTGATAAAGCAAAAGAGTAGTTGGGAGATGGATATTACTATTTAGATATGCTTAAAATAGTGTTCTTGTGTCCAAACACTACTGAGATTAACCAGTTTCGTGATGGAAAGAAGAAGCAAATATCTGTCAAGAAATCTTATGCATAGCTCACTTCTAGATACCCTTTTCAAATATATATACACACACATATATAGTTTTCGTGGATTTTCTCCTGCACCAACTATATGGAGTGTCTCTATATTTCATGTATATATATATATATATATATATATATAAAAGCTATAAAACCAGAGCTTAATTTTAAAATTGGATTGTGGACTGCTCAAAAATTTTTGATTGATTCCTGGAAACCTGTCACAGAAGTCTACCTCTGGAAAGGTAGCAACAGGAACAGGAGAGACGGGGAAATGGAAACCTTTCATTTCCTTTGGCACTGGCCTTCACAGCAACCATGACATCCACGAGCATTTAAATAGCCAAATTTTCTTGCCTCAGGCAAATGACAGCAACAGGCAAACAGATGGAATGTTTATACCTGTCCCTTTGGATCTCTGGTGATAGTCTCTTAATTTATCATTGACTGTCCTTTTGCTGGATAAGACTGGTTTTTGTCTGGATAACTGATTGCTTTTTTGAATAGTGCTTCTCCTTGTTACAGTAATGATTTTTCTCATTGTTGTAGTTCTTCCTTCATTTCATGGAAGGACTTGCAGGAGTTCTTTCTCTCTCCCCATCTGCAAGCAATCCCTCTGACTCTTACTCATACATCTGTACCATTACTTCACCACACAGTTGCATCTTCGGAATGCTTGATTTTTAATTTTTTTTAATTGCCCATAGCTTCTTTCATCTCAGTTCTTCTGTTTATTTGTGATGCTTCAGGTATCACAAGTTGGCCATCAGACATTTATGTGTATCAAGTTTTCAGTCTTTGTGAGACCAGTGGATGATACATATTTTGATTTTTAACTAGACACTAAGTCTGTATTGCCAGTAGCATAAGCTCCTTAGGAAATTTGTGTCTTGACTGGGTTATCAAAATATGAGTCTAGGGATAGATACACGTTGCATGGTCATGTCAATCCACTTACCAACAGTCATGTGATGATTTTGAAGCTGCCTTTCCCCTCACCCCTCTTTTCTTTGTTTCCTATTCTGTTCTGCATTTGGGACCATGCTTCACATTCCACTGTTTGTGTTCCTTTTTGGAGTCTCTGGGTACTTAATCCAATATAAAGTAAAGATGGAGATCCAAGATTAAGCTACAGTAAAATGTAGGACATCTCAAATTTTGTCTGATTAGGAAAAAATAGAGCTAACTTATCTTAATAATTATAAGTTGGCTTTTATGCTAGTCTGAGTTATGCTCTTTTAATAGTAAAAGAGTACATGCAGAAGGATTAAATGCTAGTTTCTACTGATTTGTCCTCAGAGGAGCTTGTGTTGTATTAGGTAGCAAAATGGAAGGTGATGTAAAAATGAGAACTGAGATCACATATTCTAATATATGACTAAGATATGAAACATTAAATAGTTTATAGTTGATCTTTGAACTTTGTGATTAGGAAATCAAATTTTATTGGATAATTAAAAAGGGGCAGAATTGTACCTTATTTGCCAAAGTAGCTGGTCACAGACATGGCACAAAGAGAACAGTTGTAGGTCATGACAGTTCAATGGAAGTTACATGGATGGGATGTGGGGCAGCAGTGAAGTCCTATGGACAGGGCCTAAAAGAAAGTGTATAAGATTTTGGAATTACAGATAAAATGTATTAGAGGCAGTGACTTGTTAATGCATTTGAGGAAGGAGTGCTTAACAGTAACTAGGAGAAATTTGTCAAGTGGAGGCATTTAATTAATTTGAACTGTAAAAGGAATGAGATGTCACAATATCAGAGAAGACAAACCCTTAATACCTAGATAGGAGGTCATAATGTGAAGTAGACATCCACAAATTACCCAACAGCTGTAGCAAAGCAATGGGTTTTAATTGAATTTCAAAACTAGATTTTAATCATGTCCAGAATGTGATTTCATTCCATGTTTTTTGTTTCAATATAAACAAACGGTAATAAAGGGATGGTAGCTTCCTTAATTAGTATTCTTCCTCATTATTTTTAATTTCACAAGTAGTAGTGATGTTAAAAGCTAGAAAGATTAAGTGATAGAAGGGAGACAGAGAGCTATTCCTATTAAATGCATGGTGATGAACTGGTCTCTGCCCCCAGGAATTTTTTATGTGAATAGAAAAAAGAATGACAATGGAAGCAATTATGTGGGGGACCTTTTCTGTAATTCTCTTTAATGTCATAACTAAGTTCTTGTAAGGTGTAAGGTTGGGCAGCTGTCTGCTTAAGATGGCTTTATTTAAGTGTGGAATAGTATAACTGGGGATGAGACTTGAGATAAAGCATGGACAATATGAAAAAAACATTCAGGCAGTTAATGCTGAAAAAGTGTTGAAAGTGAAATTGAAAGCTGTGGAAAGTGGTTTAGTCAGTGCTCTCTAAACCCTGTTGATGCAGCTTTAGCAGCTGTTCCTGACAGCTGAGGGACAAGGAGTACCTTGGCTTGGTAAAATTTGTAACAACTCAGGAATTTTGTTGAAGTTTAGACCTGCAAATGTACAGGATGTGAGTTAAGCCATGCAGAATCTAAACTATTATTTTATGGATGCCATGCAGATAGACACATTAACAGTCATTGCTGCTATACAACAGTGGTTTTACTAGGACAATTTTCATTTTCAGTTGTCTGTTTAGTTTTACCTGTGTAGGGTGTTTCTTCAGTATCAGGAGTGGCTTGGAGGAGGCAAGTACCAATCTGTTATATTATTAGGTCATAATCTCCATAGATAGTAATAATAAAAATGTCTAAAGTCTTCTACATTGATTTGCCATATGTCAGTGCAATTAATATTTAACTGCTAAAACCATGTAAACTTAAGTACATGTATAGTTATCCTGTGAAACAGTAGTTCAAATGGGGCCAATAAGACCCTTGACAACTCTTCAGTCTTAATTCTGGAAGTGTAAAAATGAGATTGAAGACTCCCCCCACCCTGTTCCCTCCACTCCCCTCCCCTCCATAGTGGTTAGGAATTGGCACATGAGAATTTCACATTGCCCCATGTGCGAGAGAGTGCATTGGTTAATCCCTAGTTTGCATGCTCACACTCTGTAAACTGTAGAGGACGTTTGCATTTTTTCATGTTCCTTAATTAGTGGCCTAAAGATTTCCTATGGGTTTTCCTGTGCTTGGTAAACTGGGTCATGTAAGTTGAGGGAGTTTGTATCACATAAGTGGTAAGGTACTCAGAAAGGTAACTCCAAAAACCTACATAGAAATCTTGTAGTGTATGTGTCACTAAACATATAGTCTTTAAACCCACTGATTTTTTTAAAACTGGGGAGTTTCTGATAATTGAATATTTTAAATTAAAATAAAAATTAAGTAAGACTTAATTTTTTGGGAGAGGTTTTTTCCTATTTAAAATTGAAATTGTGTCCCTCTCCTGCCTTACAGTTTTTCTCAGAACCCTTATCCCAGTGTTACTGAACCACAGTATTTTACTCCTGTAGTTCCTTAGTAGCAGGGTGTCTTAAATATTACACCTTCTGCTAGCTGAGGATCCAAGTCAATGTGAAAGGAAATCTGCATAGAATTCCCCAGGAGACCACAGTATAGAGATGTTGGAGGAAATGAAAGAAGGGAGATTTTTTTGATTCATGGAGTGGATGCTTAGAATAAGACTACAGTGTGCTAGCAAGGGGATGAACAAGGTTTATGGAGGAACAGAAATCGTTTGATGTGTGTGTAAAATCTTTTCTCTGTGTTACACATCAAACTTTTTCCTAGAATAATAATTTACTTCTCTCTTCAGGAAACTATTTTTCACCTCAGGTAGCTGTGCCTGTTGGAAAGCCTTGCTTTTGCAATGCTCTTTGTCATGTGCATCAGAGTTGGAAGGAGGAGAGTGGAAATTCATAATATTTTAAGATGCATTGGACAAATACTGTAAAATGCTGGCATCTAAGAAGGTGGAGCTGGAGTTCCAAGCTGTCCTTAATCACTCCTGTGTTTCCAGATGTATTTGAGAAAAGGAGAAGGATTTAGGTATGAAATTTTGGATGGTGTTCGAAAACAGAGGAAGCAGGGCTCCCAGGTTTCTTTAAGGCAATGCAGATTAGTAAAGCTAACTCTCTTCATCAGTAATGTAAATTGGTAGGAATAAAATTTGGATAGGCAAAACCCCTGGAGTTTAAATTTGAGTAGTGAAATCTAGTAGAGTGGAAATGAAAAAAAAAATGTATCAGTAAAAGCTGGTCGTTCTGAAAATACTTTGAATTGTCTGTACTGTAAAAATGCATCTCATTCTCTCATATAACATGCAAAAATGTGAACTCCCTGATTTCATTACTATTCTCTTTCTAGTCAAATAATCTTTGATCTTTCAGATTTTAAAGCGCTTTCATTCTCAAAACTGCCTTATGTGTTTCTGACTACTTGTAGCATCTTTCATCAGAAGAAAACGACCACAGTTCTTGTTACAGCCAGTCAGATAGTCAGTATGGTTCTCCTCCAAAGGGTTGGTCAGAAGAGTTGGATGAACATGGTCAAACCTTATATACCAATGACTATACTAATGAAAAGGTACTTTTTCCTTCTTCTCATCATGTGTTCTAAATCTTTTCCCACTAATTCACTTCTAGAAATGAAACCTACATTTCCAAAAGTGAAGAGCCTACCTCAGCAGTGTCTCCTTTTGTTTTTTTAAATATGCATGAAGCTTTAGGAAGTGAACTGACTTTTTTTCTTATGTATGTTTTTGTTTCTTAGAAGAAGTTTTATTTCCAGTTGTGTATCAGATTATATTCAATGAACATCCCATGTATATTTTTTTTTGGTTCCTGCCTTCCCCCCTTGCTCTTGGTTATACTTCAGGAATGAACTTCATACCAATAAGTTTTTCTTACTGTCTTTCAAAAGCTGCTCTTTTCTACACAGACCTTCTACTTAAGATGTTTTAAACTGAATGTAATGCTGCTTTATGATTTTCATAATTTCCTTTTTTAGAGATTTTCAGATGTAGACAAATTGCTTAATTAAACTACATCCATATCAGCAGATTTATGCCCTATTCTTGCTATCTAATTGCTGCTGACAACTTATTGTGATTCTGGGCATGCCATAAAACTTCTCCCACTTAGGATAAATTACAGCATTTGTTTATATTTGAAAAGCAGTCCATTTTTCTAATTGTTCACTGAAGTTGCATAAAGTGTTTACTGAAACAGTACTTTGTTTATCATATAGAATCACCTGTTCTCGAGTTGAATTAGGCAAGTTTTATTTGCAAGAATTTTCTAAACAGTTCGATTTTTGTCAGTTTTAGAATTTTATCCTCTTTAATCTGTTTCTGACAAACATCTGTAAAGCGCATTTCTATGTTTTAGCAAATATGCAGCCTTCTTTTTTAATTGCATTGGGACTGATAAAAAACAGCCTGTCCTACCACAAACAGTTACAGAAAGGCAATCTTGTGAAACCTGCTTGAGCCAAGAGCCTTGCTCTGAGCGTTTCTGTATTTTTCTGCAATCACCTTGTTGATTTCTTCTCATTACAATTATTTTCTTTCTGCATAACCACTCCCAGTTGTCACGAGTTTGCTTCTTTGTCTATGGGAGGTGTTTGTAGCGGTTACAGAAATTAAATTGTCTTCTTCAGGATTTCTCTAGGGACTGCCTCTCACATTTCCATTGATGTTTTTAAGAAGTTGCTCAACAAATGCAAGTGTTTCTCAAATTATCAGCAGTTGCTCGTTGAGCTGCTTTTTGTAATTAAATGTATAAGATCCTAATGCAGATCTGATGGAAAAATTGTGCCTCTTTAAACTGACAATATAATGTTGAAAAGAATGAGATGTGGCATCTTAAAAAAATCTATTTATCACAATCTCTTGCGGGATATTGCAGGACTTTTTTTCTGAGGAGTTACAGAAGAAAAAAATCAGGATGCTGGAAACTGTTGCTCTCATTGCAATCTAACCTTGGTTAGTTAATGGAGGTTGTGCATTAGACACGGCTGAACTGGATGGCACTTAATTAAAAATTAACTTTAAATCTCAGGTCTCAGAGATCTGCTGTTGTGACTGTCACTCTGATTATGTTTTCTATCATCACATTTCTTTCTGCAGTGGATAAAACACGCAGATGAACAAGGCAGACCATATTATTACAGTGCTGATGGTTCCAGATCAGAGTGGGAGTTGCCTAAGGTGAGTGACCTAAAAAAGAAACTTCAACAACTTGGGGCTTTCCCCTCTTCCTGAATATGTGTCCTATCAGGCCTTTAATGTGAGGTATTAACCATCAGACAGCTTAGATATTGCTCTTTGTTATTTATTGCGTTTTTGTGGAATTTCTGATTATGAAGGAAAAAAAAACATAGTCAAGGACATGAAAAATGGATGTTTGTAGCTATTCAGATGTCAAAGGAGATCTGGTGTCTTTGCTGAACTGAGGAAAGGTTTTATGCAGGGCTGCAGAATATTATCTGTGATTTTGCTGTGGTAAAGAAAACCTGTATAGGAAAACAAGAAATCTTCACTGAGAAGCTGTAGTGTATTTTTAGTACTCTCCAAGTGCTTATACAAACAAGTGTTGAAAAACAAAATGTTTCAGCAGAGTTTTGTGGTATCTTTGAGGATGACAGTTTCATCAGAAGTGTGTTCTGGTATTTATTGATTTCGTAGTGAAAATAGAAATTTGTAAGGAAGTGACATAACTAGGAAGACTTGGTAGTCTGAGAATGTATCTAATACTATTTAATTCTCATATTCACTTCAAAAAACTGGGGCATTTGTCATATGGATGTTATTATGTATGTTTTCCCTGCTATTTGTTCAGTACTACCTAATAAGGTATGACCATTAAAAAAATTGTTTCACACAAAAGTGTGTGCATAAATATATGAAAAGTTATATTTTTCCATTATTGTTTTGTCAGTACAAAAATCAGTGTCTTGAGCCACTTCCACTTAGAAAGGAGCAGCCTTAATAGGTAGTGCTTTCATAATACTCATGAGAAAATATTTACATTGAAAATTATGAATTAAATTATTTACTAAGCTGTTTTGTTATGTCAGTAGAAGAATGTGCATCTGAATCACTGAAGAACTGAGTTAGCTTTGAGAATTCTCCTGTGTTAGATAACTTAAATTTTGTAACATGTCTCAATGTAACAATATAATCTGTACCTATTGGTTTTTAGAACTGTTTAGCTTTTGTTTAGTTATTGGATTATTAGAAGTCTGAAAATCTGATAGACCAGATTTTACCAGAAGCAATTATTACTTCAATATGTATAATTGAAATAATTTGGGGGAATAATGTCATGAGTACTTCATTCTATGACTTCTGCTGTGCAGAAACTTTTGACTTGAAAGAGATTGTGTTTCACAAGAATAGATTGAGTTTGGATTTGAATTAAATAGCACACTGCCTTTAATCTTTAATGCAGTTAGAATAAGTCACAAAGCTTGTCCAGAACCATTACCTGAGGTATATGAGGAGGCATAAAGGAGTGGGTTCTAGTATTTGTTAATTAATGCATGTTACTCTAGTGATTCTAAGCGAAGTCTGAGTTCTGTTGTATTAGTAGCCACTTCCAAAATGAAACATAGCCTTTGCTTTGTAATTTGTGATCTGAAAGTGATGTCTTATTGCTGTTAGAAATTTTCCTTGAAAATCATTTGTCATGATCTGTTTGGGTGGAATGTGCTTTTAAATTCCTTCTTGAAACTAGTAAATCCTGGCTGGCAGCAAATATGAGGTTAACAGAAGAAAATGATCAATTGACTCTTAGATTCATTATCGAAGAGTCTCTGTATTTTCAGAAATCCTTGGATTTTAACTTTCAATTCTGTGGAATAAATTAAATATTTAAACAAAAGATTTAGCTAGTTTATGTAGCTATGTATTTGAAGATGTTATGCTTGTGAGCAATTAAGCATGATTGAAGATTAGTCTCTCAAAGATCTTGCTGAAGCTGATTCTAAAGTACTTAAAACAAATGAATTAGAAAGATCATTCAGACCACAAAACTGCTTTGAAGATAAATAATCTGTGTTGAAAATTCTCTTGAGTAGTGAGAGAAAACCATATAAACCACCTCAGCATTGTAACACTTGCTTAAATTAAAAGTTTCTAGGGAAAATCCTACTCTTGCTCAGTTTTGGTTTGTTTTTTTTCCCAGTGTATTTAGCACAAATATTGCCTTCCAAATCTTGTGAAATAAAATGATGTAATAGCACGGTCATGTAATGCTATTAAACCAGAAAAAGAATAGAATCTTTTTGTTAGATGGTTCTTAATAATCTGGATTTCTTTAGAACTAAGAATGTTTCAGAGATTTCTGGAAATAGCACACTAGCTGAGCTAATACTGTGACATTAAAAATCTTCAGAGTAATAGAATTAACTATAAATGTGCACGTGCTTGGGAATAACACAGTGTTCTTGTACATGTGTTAAAAATTGTGAGAGTATATGCTGGGAAGGGAGGACAGTTACAAAACAAATTACTTTAGACAGTCTCACAGAAAGCCCTCCAGTCATGTGAATTTAAATAACATCTAGGAATAGCTGAATGCCTCTGGCTAAAAATGATATTTCAGATGGAGTAGCTTTGACAACTGCTGAAAAGTCTATTAAGGCTCATGATGAGTGTGACCCAGCTTTCTGCAGTGGAAGAGAAGAACATACTGAATTAATCTTTAAAATGGATAATAATATTTTAATCATAGTTTCTACTGGATTGTGCAAAAGACTCAGTTTTCTGATCTGCAGCATTCTGCTGTATCCAGTTTCTGGTTCTTGCCAATTATAAAAAAAACAACAAAAACAAACCAACCAAACCAAGCAACAAAAAAACCCAACAAACAAACAATTAGAAGTTAGATCACTATAATGAAATATGTTTATTTCCTGTGTAGTGAAAGAGTACTGTCTAAATTCAGGTTAAGAAGGGCTACAACCCTATTCCAGAAACCTAATTTTCTAATAGGAGTTTTATGACTTAAGCAAATGAGAAATCTCTGTTCAGGGTGAGGGGAATTCAACTCATCTCAGGAGTAGGAACTCCCTAATTTCTGAAGTTTCAAAAAAAACCTATCAAAATGACCAAAAAATAAAGATGTGAAATCTATCTAATAAATAGCTCAAATGAGAGTTAGAGAGAACAACTTAATAAAAAGTAGAGATTTTTAATCTCTCAAATTTTCAAAATACATTCCTGGGCCAACACCTGGCATAAGAGCATGATGCTTGGCCCTGCTCTGAGTGAGCTCACTGATCCAAAGTATCCTTTGGAAGAAAAATGTGTGTACTGTAAGCCTCTGGAGTGAACTCAGTTTTAGTGTTAATATTTACAGAGAGTGACATTGCAATTGCATGGGTTCTTCTCACAAGTTCCTGCAGCATAAACTCTCCTTGCTGTATCCACAGAGGAAGCTGGAGGAGCTTCATTTTTGGCAGTGTTAATGGACCAGATCTGAAAACTGTCAGAGCATGATAGCTGAAAAAATTACAGTAAAACAGGGTGCAGTAATGTCAGGAACATATAATGCAATCAGATGATAAAATAAATACAAGAACATGTAAATAAAGCTTGGTTGTCTAATGGTAAATTGTCTTGTTCTGAGCTGTGCTGCTGGATTTGAGGTTACCCTGTGTGCTGGCATTTAAGTCTACTGCAAGTCAATGCACTGGGCAGTTTCATTAGCAGTAGTGACATTCTTGTCCTAAAATTTGGGATTGGCTGGTGGAAGTTCAGACAGCCTCAGCTGGTGTGAGGATCTAGGTGGTTTTTAATAACACAAGTTGTTAAAAGAACCGAACTTGAGTTAAATATGAGAAGGCAGTCAGGATTTTTTTTTCCTTTCTCTTTAATATATCTATTTCTACTCACAAAACCTGGTCTGATCTTCCTCCTTTGTCCTGGGGTTTAGTGGCTCCCACCTCCCCCACAGCTTTTGCTTGAGACCTGCAGCAGTCAACAAGGGCTTGGGGCTGCTCGTCAAAAACCCTGAGGATTAAAAGGGGAAGCAGTGGATGTCCAAGGCAGCAAAGTGAACAAAGTAGGTTATCCAGAGGTGTCTTTCAGTCACTGGTACATTTGAGCTAGAGCTGCTTGTCCCAGTGGTCTCATTCTGCCTGGATTCTGTTCCTTCCCTGTGGCTGAGGCATCCAACTGCTGCCACCCTGACATTCTGTGGCAGAGAACAAGGAATCTTCATTCCCTAGAGAAAGGAAGGGAATAAAACTCCTTAAAAGAACAAAAATAATCCTAATTTATTTGTGGAGATTTAAGGAAAATGTGTTACTGATTTGATAAGAAAAGCAAAAGTTTTAACACAGGTGCTGCATCTATCACAACAACAAAAAAGTTTATTCAAAGCCAGGGACAATAGGAGCACTAGAAAGTCGTTTTGTTCTGAGGCAGCTTTAATTTTTTTTAAAGGAGGTTCTTCTATTTTAGACAGTCTATTGGGACAACTGCAAATAACATATATGAGATGCTAAAAGGTACTAGGGTAGCACAATGGTTTTAAATGCTGCTGGTTTTGTCTTTGCAGTAAGGTAAAGTGCTTTACTTCAAGTCTTTACCAACTTTCAGTATTGGTTGCTTCCTAGTCTTTTCTCTTTTAGCCCACCCAGTTCCTTTGTCTGGCTGAAGATGTTGCTGACACAAATCAAGAAGAATCTTTTTTCTGTTTCGATCTGTGCCATCTCTGAATAATGGGGACAACTGCTACAAATAACTTGGAGGTGTTACATTTGTTTCAGCCACAATTAGGCTAGGATAGAGCCTTGAGCCATGCCATGTATCAGCTTAAAATTACATTGAAATCACTCAGCCATTTGAGAAGGTTAGAAAATTTTTTACTGAGGCAAAGAAAACCTTTAAGTAGCTGGAGAAGATATTAAACAAATTCAGCAATGAAAAGAATACTGTGTGACCTAAATTTACACCACTGCTGTCCTTGAACTACAGCAAGAACTGTTACCAAAAAAATCCCTGTTTTGCTTGGTGTGTGCAGTCAGGGAATGAACAATTTGCTCGTGTGCTCATGTGTGGTAAGAGATGCTCCCAATGAAGTGGGGAGCAAGCTGGGGTGATGTGCCAGAGAGAGGTTGGTGTAATGGGACAAATTGGAGTTTGTGGAGGATTTCCAAGGAGCAGTAGTGTGTAAATTTGGAGCTGTGTTCTACATTTTAAAAAGCTTTAGAGTTAGGAAAATAACACTGCACCCTAAGAAGATGCTGTTAAGGCATGTGGTGTAGCAGGGGTTGTTCCACCAGGCAATTTGAACAGGTCAGTTGTATTGCAGAGGACAGCCCTTGCCTGCTCTCTGTCTTCAGGATTACACCAAGTCTTAGGCATAGAAAGCCTGATTATGGTTATGTAAAAATAAGATTTTGTTTGAGGGAAGGCAAGCCCAACCTAGTTTCTGGTAACAATGGTAAATACTGCAAATGCAGGAGGAGAGAGAGCAGCTCCTCTGCAGGTGGGAGTGCAGGTAGAAAGGGAACTGGACCTGAAGCTGTTCTGCAAGGCTTTTTGACCTGAGGTTGGGTGAGGGCAGAGTGAAGAGCAGCAGGGTGGTGTCATCCACCCAGGCAAGCCTTCCAGTTCTGGCCACCTCTCCCTGTCCAGGGGACTCTGCCTGGTCCCAGAGGATGGTGAGTTCTGCTGGACAATGTGGGGTAGGAAGTGGTGTCTGTATCTTCCTCTGAGTCTCTTTGGAGATCACAGGCCAATTCATGCATTTTGAAAGTGGAGACTTGTCTTGAGCCCAGAAACACAAAATGTTTTATTTCTACATTATTCTTCCCCCCAGTGTGTTTTACTATTTATAATGAATAAAACAAACAAACAACCTCATAGACATCGGAGAAAAAAAGATTTACTTGAAGTTTCTATTGTGAGAAAATGGGGCAAAAATGTCAAATGTTACCTTTAAAGACTTGTCAGTTTACTAACACTGTTGGTATCACCAATGCAAATTATTTAAGCTGCTAAGATACATAGAGCTCAGTGTTCCTGAGTTGTTAGCAGTGTTTTGTTGATGAGCTCCATATACTGTTGTACTTGTTAAATATGTTTAGTAAAACTTGAATTTCATGTTATAGTTCCTTTCTCCTTCAAGGTGGGGTTGTCTGTTAGAGAAGTTAACTCCTGATGGCTTGTGTTAGTATCAAAGGCACTATTTAAATATAGATCACCTGTGCCCGTATCCTAACGTTTAAAATGTACTTAAATTCAAGATAAAATACTTCAAAATACGTATTTGTTTATTCAACTCCTGGAGTTACTCAAGGAAAGTGTGTGGAAGATTTCCACAAATAATGTATACCAGTGTCAGTAATGTGTAAATCTATTTCTGAAATAAACAGTTCTGTTTTATAGCAAGAAATAGTTGGAATTGCCCACCTAAATAGGTTAGAGCTGCTGCAAGGAATGCTGTTTGTTGCAGCCTTTGTGATTTAGATGTAGTTTCTCTGGAAATTGTTTAGATTTTAGTTTTAATGCTGGCAGGCAGTTTAGCTGCACGTTGCTCAGTGTGCAGCCACGGTTTGGGTTGTGGGAGCACCAGCAGAGTGGATATTTCCTTAACAAGAAAGCAGGGCAGGTCTGGGGTCCTTTCAGCATCTATCATGGCTCAGCTTTTGATTTAACAAGGAGACAAACTGAGAGTTACTTAAACCTCACCACTCTAGGAAAGCAGTTGTCATGTGAGTGGGAATGTGCTGAAGCCAGTACCAAGGCAGGCTCAGAAGTGACTTTCTGCAGTGACAACCAATGTATTTCTGTCTGTACATGAACTACTGAATTTTATTCTCAGTACTGCAACATCCATTCACTTGGGAGTGTTTTACTAGTCTTGTGCATTTTAAAATAATGTAACAATATGCTAAAACTATTTATCTGTGGGCTTGTTGGAGCATTAACTCTGTTCATAGTAAAATACAAAACTAACTCAAGCATCGTGAGTGCTATAGCTGATTCTTTATTTGAGCAATAAATATAACTGTATTATGCAATTTTGGTTAGATTTAGTGTTTATGTTGTTTAGGTTAAACCTTGCCATGGTTTGTTGGTATCTGCAGGTATAGGTTATTCTGTCTTTGAACACCTGAGCCTCTGAGCTTATAGCAGGAATCAGTAGCAAAACTGTAGAATTCAGTGTCCTTGCAAAGATTATTTCTTCAGACTTCTCAGGTGAAAGGGGCACTTCACTTTTCTTTGTTATTTCCTACCTAGTGGATTCTAGAGCTTTACGTGACTCCACAAATGCTGCCTTAAGTTTCTTTCTATGTGCAGATTTTAATCTTTTGATACTGACTAAAAAGAATGAGATTTTAATAAATTACTTAAAACCTCCATACACTGATGTTGTCTTTTCTTGTTTGTGTTTTCAGTATAACACTTTGTCTGAAATATTTTTAGAATTTTTATATGTATCAATATATTGTGATGATGTAAAATGGCAACATTATTAATGAAAAATATGCTGCAATTGTGAGATCTAGCTAAATGCTGTGTCCTTCTCATGAAAGAGTCGTACCAGGCAGTCATAACAATCTAAATATCTTACTGCAGGATAATAGGTTTTCTTTTTCTTACAGGAGAGCTAGTCAGGTGCTGTAGTACTGTCAATGCAATATGAAGACTGAATGTTTTGTATTTCCTGTAATTCCTTGGTGGTTCTCAATACCCCATTGGGTTGCAAAATCAGCAGCATCTGCTGCAGAAGAAATCAAACATCTCTCTGCTATTTGAGAGTATTATCCCAACATGTCAGTCTTAGTTACTGCTTCAGAGAGGACTACAGGAGAAAGGACAGTTCTGAAGACTACATGCAAAATAAAGCCAAGGCTGTTTTCACACCCTTGGGTGGTGACAGCAGGAGTCTGAAAGCTTGCACTATTTAGGCATATGAGTGGTATGTCCAGGTCTTTGCATGAATTAGATTCTACTTACAATTTTATTTTTCTTTTCTTTAGTATAATGCTTCACCACAGCAGCAGAGAGATATAATAAAGAGTAGGAGTCTGGACAGAAGGCTACAGGAGCCAATAGTTTTAACAAAATGGAGGCACAGCACAATTGTGCTGGACACCAACGACAAGGTAGGAGCAAGTTATCAGCATGCTGAAATGCCACTTGTTTCTGATGTGTGACATATTTAATGTACCAGAAATGACTGTACCAATTTCTGAAACTTCATTTTTCTTTCGGTCTCTTGTATCACTGTGTATAACATGCAGCAAAACCAAGGGCTGTTCAGCAGCTCCACTACTGTTACTTTGTGAATAGTAGCTCTTTTTCTTGCCCTTGAATATTTTAACTAGTGTTAGTTCAGGGGAAAAGCTGTGCATGGTTACAACAGCGTTGTAATATTGTTCTTGAAGGGCAGAGGACAGTACTGGAAGTGCTGAAATACTTGGCTTTGATCCTCTCCAGAGCTAGTCTGAAAAGTGCTATGAGTCAGTACCAACAAAAACTGTTTTCTGCCCATTCTTAGGGCATATTCTTGGTAATCTTTTTGGGCTGTACAGTAACAGGTGCTGTTTAAGCCAGCAAGGAGACAGGGCCTCTCCCTTGTTCTCCCTCTGCTTTGACCTTTTTCCTAGCCATTTCTGCTTGTGCTGGGCCATTCTGCCTGTGGGTGAGGAGACCTGATGTGACCTGAGCAGGGGGGAACAGAAACAAGTGCTGACGGTGGTGACATGCTGGTTTCTGTAACTTCCCTGAAGTCCATCCCAAGATTAATGGAAAGTGAAATAACTTGGTAGTGCTGAAATCTTAGCACAAACTTCTCAGAATGAAATACCAAGAAATGGCATTGTAAGTTCCCTTCCTTAAAATTCTGAGAAAAAAAAATTAAATTAATGCAGATTTGAAAATGTAAGGAGAAGCCTATGAATGGCCTTGTGTAATCACAGATGTCAAAACCAAACTTAAATGGACAAAACACAGTAGCTGAAATGACAATAGATCTGCTGCCAAGAACGTTACTTGCTCGACCTGTTGTTTCCATTTTAATGGACTTGCTTTCCATGAGTTGACTTAGCTCTTCAGAGCAGGATGTATTGGATTTGATCTGGAGCTTTTGAGTTGTCAGTTTGGGTTATATCATGTGTGGTGTTGAGGAGACAGTGGGCTGTGCTTGGCTGGAGACTTTGCAGCTCTCGGCATTCATTCAGCTCCAGCGATTCTGGGATCCTGCTGCTGCTCCTTTCCCCTCCTGCTCCTCCTCCTCTTCCTCTGCCTCATGCATCCTTCTGTACTCAGTTGTTGTGGCACTCCATGAGACACAACCTAGATGGAGCCCTGATAAATCAAAGCTGAGTGGACACTTCTAGCCTCATGTGCAGTTTGTGCTTCACAGGTATGAACAATTTTGTTGGAGATAGCTTGAAGTTCTGGCTTCGCTTTTAAAGGAAGACATAACTTTTTATTTTTTGGCATAAGATGCACTGCTGTTTTGGAAAGAACTTTATGTAGTGCTACACTGAATGAAGAAGTTTTTGTAAAACATTGAGTAAGTGGAGCTGTTTACATTTCTTCAGGGCTCAGTGTTCACATATCAAGAACTTAAACCTAGTGAAGCAAACATGAAAATGCACAAATGTTATGGGTAATAACCAAAAGAAACTCTATTTGAGCTGCATTTGTGAAGTCTTAAGTCAGCAGCCTAGAGTTCCTTTAACAGTTTCCAAACATGTAGGAGGCATGTGTTTTTTATTGTTGAGGAGAAAATAGTTTATAAAGAAGCACAACATTAATGCTTTGAGAAAATTTAAAATGTATAGTGGAGCAATAAACTAATGTTTTATGGAAAGACAAATAATTTTTAGTGCATTAATGCAGCTGTTTTATTACCACTAGCAGGCACACTGTTAATATATTCTACTTTAAATTAGTATGTGGAAAGGGAATGTTTCATTACCACAAATACTGGATTTTTTGTTCCAGAGTTGCTTTTGCTGCATGAAAGCTATCTCAAATTCAGAACAAAATAGAAAGGAAAGCAACTGGTATTTGTCTGGATAGGCACATGAACACCAAGCTTTCTTTTTAGCTATCTCCTAGGGAAGCTGTTTTCTGTTTATTTTCCTTATTTGTTTTTTTTCCTGGAAAAACAATGGAACTGAATTGTGTGAAAATAAGGCAGTCAAAAGCGTACTTGAAATGTGTCAGAGTGAAAGTATGGGTTGCCAGGGCTCATGAGTATTTGATGATACCAAACATACTGGTTAACAGTTTATTGGCTGTGGCACATATCTGGACATAGCCATCAGCTAAAAAATTGAATAAGCATAGGAAAAAATACCTTCCTGGGAGGGACAATTGATTTTCTTAATTTGAACAATTGTTTTTTTTCCTTTGCAGACATCTGAAAATATGAAACATTTAGGCTGCTCTACTTAGGAGTGCTAAAGTTCTCTGTTATTCTGCTACTAAAAGGACTAGTGGGCCACTCCTCTAGGTAGATTTGCAAGTGAATCTTAAAGCACAAATGTGCAGAGTGCTATGTATGCTATGTATGCTGCAAAAGCAAACTGGGTTTAGGAGAGCTATCAAGGGATTTAAAAAGAGGGGGGGAGAAATGTGTTAACAGTAACAGAGAACGAGTGATGTTTTTCTTCCATTTGAAATTCTTTACCAGATTTTCAAGTGTTTTTGTGCAAGGCAGCCATTACTTCAGAGGAAACACACATGCCTTTTTTTTCTTTTTTTTTCCCTTCACATGGGCAATTTTTCTTGTTTTCAAAGATTTAGTATTTTGTTTTTGTCTGTAGTTAACAGTTCAAAACAAAACCTCAAATCTACCCCAAATCTCTAGAGATTTGCAGTGTTTGATTATAAGGAGATTAATGATCATGACTCACAAAAATTAATAAAGTTGGTATGTGTTTTTCTGCATAGATAACTTTTTAATGCTAATCTTGTATTTACTAACCACAAAGAAACATATCATATTCTTTAAAATCTTACTATTTGTATATGGTATCTTGCCATTATTTTAAATATACATCATAATTTGATAGCAATGTCATACAAAAAAATCTCCCCCTTTATAAGGATGAAGGCTTTGCTTGAAGCTGATGCAGCATGTATTAACGTCTTTTTTCAAATGGTTATATACACTAATTAACCCAGCTTGAGTGTTGTCTGTAAATCTTGTAAGAACACTGTTTAGTAAGCAAGCTTAGAATGTAACTATCTGAGAATATTATGAATGCTTAAAATAAATACTTTTCTAATCTATGAGTGTATAAAAAGAAAGAGAAAACATCTTTAGGTTAAAAAAATATGAAGTAATTGTATGAAAGATAATAACAGTACCTGTTGACATTAACTATTTGAATTTTATAGGAATCATCAACTGCTTCTAAGGCCGGTTTTCCTGAAAATGAGTCATCTCCTTCTTCACCAAAGCATCAAGCCACAGTCAGTATGCCAAGTGTTTAAATAGATAAGTAGATGTTGTAGAAACTGAGCTATTCATGATTAGAGAATTGAGGGCAAGCCTTATTGTTCTTGGGAAAAATAATGGGATAAAGCTATTTGAAGCTTTGCATTTTAAAAGGAATGCATTACATCCAGCTCTGCTTTCCGGGGAAAGAAAAGGGAATGTCCATGGTTTAAATACAACTTAGTAGATTAAGTTAAAAATTCACTGTGGCCAAGTTGTGCCAAATTAAGCAGAAGTCAGTTTGCTTCCTCCAACAGTGACATCTCACATAGCATCTTGAAAAGTAAAAACAGAAAATTCGCCCTCTTCACAGAATCCCTCACTGTTAGTCAGTAATATTGATCTCTAATTTTGGCTTGTGTTTGTCTTCTTAAAGAGACCTAGAGGACCTGCCATAAATAAACGATGTCCTTTGGATTTAGTAGAATAACTTCTGGGAGAAAAACCTAAGCCTGCTAAACAGCTTTTTTTTTTCCAGCTTATATTTTAAATGTGACAATTCCCTTTTAAATAGTGGGAAATGGGTAAAAAACTGCATTTTATTTTTTTTTTTTAATTTTGGAACTGTGCTGCATTAGCACTGAAATAAGCAACTTGGTCGGTTTTACCACCCCCTTGGTAGGTACCTCAGGGCATTAAAGGCACAAGTTCTCCTGTTTCTTTCTTACTCTGTGTGCAGGGGAATAGTTCTCTGGCTTAGTCATGATAATCCATTTCTCACAATACTTCAAACAGTTTTTCACAATAAAATAAACGTTGTTTATTAAGCAAGCATAGCTGATAGCCTTACACAAGAGCAATTATTTCTGCATGTGGTCTAATTTCTTTAAATACGTCTTGGATCTTGAATTTTTGAAATTGTATTTTGTGGAAGAGCTCACTCCTGATTTAGATAATAGAAAAAAATCTGTACTTTCTTTAGCTGTTCCCTGGGATTTAAATATTCCAAAGAAAGCTGGTAAATTTTTGAGAATTTTGATCCTTAACCTGCTTTCCTCTTCTTTTCCCTGATTCCATTAATTTTCCCATTAGTACCCCCTAGTGTTGCTGCTAAGTAGGGCAGTGTGATATTTTGAATAATTCTCTGGAACATCCCCACTGGTTCCACTGTGAGTAATTGATTAAAACCATTATTTATTTTGGGAAGTGAGCACGGGTTGCTCAGTCACTGTGGAAGTTGGTGACAGGCTGTTCTGCTTGTTAAAAGCCAAAGGTTGGTTAAAAGGGTGCAATGCATGGGACTGTTGGTCCATAGACCACATGGATCACAAATGGAGTTCTATAAAGAACAGGATAATTGATTTGTCTGGCCTTTTGGAGAGTGGACAAGAAGGGACTCACTTCTTCTGTTGGAAATACCAGTTTTGGAAAATAATTCATCTGTCACTGGCTTGGAAAAGCAGTTCAGACCAGTGAAGATATTAAACTGAGTAAGACCAGCTGTTACCATTGAACTGGAGTAATATCTGATCCACCAGCTAAGCACCTTTGTCCTTGATAATGTGTCTTTTCTGTATTTTATGTGCTGGGCTTGAAACATGAAGGTAGAATTTTTAAGGTCCATGAAAAAAAAATCTGTGTCTCTCATAAGGGTGTTGTCCATGGTATCCCAGCAAAAAAAAGTTCTTCAAAATTGTGCTGTGCAGTTAAGATCCATTTAAATTTGAGATTTGGAGGAAAATTCTGAGCAGGATTTATCATCTATTTTCACTGGATCTAGAATTGAGGTCATTTTTTTAATGATAAAACTAATTTGGATCCATTCCCTAGTTAATTCTTTCAACTAATAGCTTATTTCATACATTAGGAAATGTTAGAAACTGTTACTGAAAAGGAATTGATAAAAAAATAATTTTGCATTCTTTTAGCACCACTGGCTGGTAGGACAAGGCTAGGGTGTCAGAAGAAAATGGTAGATTTGGATAGCTCATCTTAAGATGATGGTTTAAGTGAATGGTTTTATCCTAGAATGCTTTTTTGAACATTCCTTCATTTTATTATTTTTAAGAAACTAGAAATATCCACTCCGAATATTTGAAACTTGCAAACAGCCTTCTTGCTCAGCAGTGCTCTTTTCCTACCAATCACTGATTGGTCTTTACATTTTTTTTGTAGGCATGTTAATATAGATGGTTTTCATCAACAAGACATAATTAAGTAGTTTAACATTCTACTGCTTTCCATGGGGATAGGAAAAAAAGAGGACATCAAAGAAATGCTTCACTCTTCTGTTTTTAACATGAATATTTAATTTTTTATGCACTTCAACTATGTTTTATTTAAAATATGAAATTATATTAACATTAATAGGAAGAATTCGTATGGGAATTTAGGCTGTTTTTTTTGCCAGCCACCTCATTTTTTAGTAAAGGACTGTTGTGTTATTTTACAAATCATTATAAATTTACATTCATAATTTTCACTGTTTACTATCACAAATTATTTCATTTGGCTTGTCCAAAGAACCTTGGCCTTGATGAAGGAAAGCTTTTTACCCTCTGAATGCTAGTAAGTACTTTCTCAGAGGAATTTAGATTTTGCTGATCTCTTAATATTTAAATATGCTTAAAGACAGTTTCTTGAAGTTATAACATGAGCAAAGATGGCTCATTGCCAGAAATGGATTATTTGAGGGACTGAATTCTGTGATGTGATGTTAATAGAAGCAGATATCTTTTGTATTTCTTATGTCTTACTCTTATCTTACAGGGTCAAGAAAAGTATGGGTTATTAAATGTGACAAAAATTACAGAAAATGGGAAGAAGGTTCGGTAAGTGTTGGACTTGAAAAGTGCATGTGCTGAGGGTTTATGAAAGGTCTTTTGTATTGGGACAGCATACTGGGGTTTGCAACTTCTTACTTTTTGTCTGAATTTGCCTTAGAGGTTTCCGTGCATGACACAGCTTAACCTTACCCCATGTGTTTGTGCAAGTGAGCTAAAGATAATGGACTGCAGAAAGCCAGAGGCTCATCTATCAGGGCTTCACACAGGCCAGTGATTTCATAAAGGTGTATTGATGAGAGACAGCTTTTTAGACTGAGATTGATTGATTGATTTACTTAAGAGCAAATCCATATAGGTTATACTGTGTTTTGTTCCTTGGATAAAATTGGTTTAAGAGTAGCTTTCAGACTTTCATTTGCTGTCCCTTAACTTCCAAGAAGTGTACATCCATGTTCTCCCTCATTCTTCCTTCACTGTGCTTGTGAAGGGTTTGGAGCAGTGTATTGCCCAATGTCAGTCTCCTGTAGGTGATGAGTGACCTCATTTGTAACTTTTCTCTGCATCCCAGGCAGCAATTTGCACTATAAATCATAATGTGTAATCAGGTGATGCTGTCTAACTACATTTCTGGTGTGTTGCAAAGCATCAATGGCAAATACTGTGAGGAGGTGTGGCACATCCTCAGAGTTAATTTAGATTTGCTTCTTGCCTTCTCCCCCCATTTTTTTTCTTTTTTGGTTAATTTAACCTTTTAGATCTAATAATATGTTATATCTAGTTCAGTGTTTCCCAGACTTGTGATACATGCTTGTCCTGAGGATTAAATAGCCAACACACAGCTGTAATTGTAGACCCACCCTGACCTAGTCCAGTGCAGCTGGGCAGCACATCTGACCTCCAGAGCTGCTTCTCAGATTTTGGTAGGGCTGGGTACACAGTAGCTTGTGTGAGCTGCTGCTGGTACAATGTGCTGCCATCATTTACGTTGCATCTGCTGGAATCATTGATCTGGATTGTTGCACTGCTGAACAGAAAGATGCAACCTGGCCATCCTGTCACTTTGAGAGCTGTTAAGTAATAATTCATGTTGGGCAATGGGAATAGATATTCAGGGCTTGTCAACACCTTCTTTTTTACAACCACGTCAGGAGGATGGGTCTGCTGGCATAAAATCAAATAGTCAGACAACTGAAACAGCTCATTCTTTCTCTTAATTTTTTAGACGTGTAGCAAATACTTTACTGCCAATATAAATGAGCTTATTACATAAATATGGGACAGTTGCATCTCAGATCAACGAATTTCAGAATTATGCAGTAGTTTGGCATGATCTGTTAAGTACACAGTGAGCTGAGCGTTCTGGATTAGCCTCTTTGAAATTATAATTGCATGGTGTTTCTCTTGGTGTACTGCTTCTACTACTAATTAGCTTTGTTTGATTTAGACTTTGATGGTCAGGCTGGAATTGTTAACATATGTTCACTTCTACAAATATGATAGAATTAAGACTTACTGATGCCACTAATGACTATATATGTGCTTAACTATATTAACATACAGGTCAGCTGAGCAGCAATGATCGACAGTTTAAATATCTGCTTTCAGTATCAATTTATTTTATGTTTGTTTACAATTATTTACAGAAAGAATTGGATGTCATCATGGGCAGTGTTACAAGGGTCATCACTACTGTTCACTAAAACCCAAGGAAGTGGAACTGGCTGGGTAAGCCCAGGAACAATCCCCACCCTCACTGAAGTATTAGTAATGTAAAGCACAATAAAGTGAAGCCCTCTTATTTGCAGGGCCTAAATACCTATATATATACCTAATATAGAAAAAAATACCTGTGTATAAGTTGGCAAGAAAATAGTTTAGTGTTACAATTATGATGTAGCAAAAGAAGAAAACCAATTGTATGTATGTATGTTTGACAGGCAAGAACCTGATAACATTCAGGTGCTCCTTAGGCTTGAAGTTTTTTCTCCAGGCCAAATACTTTCATGTTCTTTACTAATATGTTTGTCTAAGCAGTTTGTGTGTTTTACCATTCTTGGATATTTTTCATAAACTCCAGGTAATTTTGAATACGATACACGTGATAAAGAAAATAGTCTGACACGTGGCTTCTTGCATTGGCCTATTGGGCAATGCAGTCTTGTTTTCCTATGATTTAGTCTCTGTCTTGCTGGATTCCATATTTTGTTTTAGATCTTCATAGTGCATGACAAGTACTTGTACTTATTTTGTTGTCTGATGAAGGCCAAAAGAGAAACATCACACTGAAGATGATGATTATTCAATTTATCACCTCTAGTGTAATAGCACTATCATTCAATTTGCTATATTTATCCATCTGCATTATTATATATAGAAATGGCTCTTTATCTACAGCTTACGTAGCCTCTTTTGGAGGTCTGACATTAAACTGTGTGGATGTCCTGTAATAACTAAAGACAGGCCAGAGCCAGTGTTTGTTATTTCCATGTATTGTCATGTGAATTCCAGCAAAATTACCTCAAACAAATCTGTGCTGTGCTTTACTGATCTTTCTACTTGGCTCACTTTCTCTTGCTGTGCTTTGTTATGGGTAGTGAATTGGAATTGACAATTCCTTTCCGTGGTGTTTAGTTTTTTTCAGACCTGTAAATATATTTTTCCCTCCTTCTGTAGAAGGGTTGGTTTGAAAAAAATAGATGAGGATGGATAAATAAAGTTTGGAGTAGAAAAGAATGAAAAAGGTAAAGTAGAGCAAGAGGTCAAGTAGAGGGAAAAGAAAGTAAGGAAAACCAATAAAAATGAAAGTCATGAGAGAAGGTAAATTCCACTGTATGGCAGGAAGTGGATTTTGGTAACTTCTGTGGTTGACTTTTGCAGCCAAGGATCTAAAAAGTATTTCTGTTTTACAGATATTAATATGCATGTTGCAAAGTACAAGTTTTGCCTAGGTAACTAGTCAAGTTCCAAAATCTCATTTACGGCTACTAATACTCTTAATTCAGGTGTGGCTGTAAATCAAAAGAACTGTCTTTTTCAGCTCTGTGTTGATATCATTAAAACACACAATGCTAAACTGTTCATGAATATATGATAATGTTTTAAATGATGTGTGCCCAAATTAATTATCCATAAAATATAAGCAATAAGCAGAGTTGCATGATTTATGGGCACTAGTGTTATGCCAGATAGAATAATTTAAAAATAAATGAAAATCTTAACAAATAAATTTAAAAATAAAAATGTATAAATTCTTCTGATCATTTGAGTGGACCAGAAGTCCCATCAGCTGTATGTACTGTCAAGCACTAGAGCAGGGTCAGCAAAATAAATATCAACAGTACAAAGAGAATAAAATTAAGCTGGAAATATTAAGTGAGACTCTGTTTCAAGGACTTAATGTTTTAAACCTGCATAATCATAGCTGACTTTGTTGATATGTAACTGAGTGTTCAGCACACACTCTCTTGGTCTCCATAGGAAATTATTTTTTTTTTAGGTATTCAGAATTCCACCTTACCTCTCAAAGTTTGTTCTGTGTCCATATTCTAATAAGGTGAAACCAAGTGTAACAGTTTCACACATGATAAGAATTACATTTCTTCCTCATCTTACAAGAAGAATATTTAGCATTCGTCTAGTGATTGATATAACCATATCTTCTTTTTTTGTGCATTGTTTTTTGACTTCATCACTTTTCTTCCTTTTTCTCATCAAGTCATTTTGCCAAGGGGGCTCAATTCCTGAGCTCTTGCTCTCGCTGCTTTCTTCTTGGAAAAATGCTCTCAGTCACCGACCTGCTGTCACCTATGTAAACTCTGCCCAAGTTTCAGCTGTCACTGTATGTGTTCCTGTTGCATGCCTCTTGTCACTGTAAGGCTATTTGCCACTAATCCTGAAAGTAAACTTGAATTTTTCCAGGATTTAGTTTTGACACTTCATATAATCGCTCATGTATCTTGTTTGCTGTTTTTGAAAGTCATCCAAGGTGCAACTTAACATAAGTTTATTGCAATAATCCTGTAATTGTTCCACTGGAACAAAGTAGAAAGCGTTTCTGGTTCATTGGTGCTAGAATTATAATCCCAAATTTGCCTACTGTTTGAACCTCTAGTGCCTTGACTAATAAGCAGCATGGTATACTGAATTTTTTAACAGATATTTTATTTTTTCTAACACAACTAATTTAGAATCTTTGTATGGTGCCTATGATACCTTTGATACAATGGTGTACATGTTGTTCGATAAATCTAGCTGTAATTGGAATATCCAAAAATGTAAATATTATGCATGAAGAGCTGAAAGGAAAAGAGCACAAGAATGTTCTGGCTGTATTCCATATACAGAAAGCAGTTGTAAATTTGTAGGATTTTTATATGTAATTTAAGCATCTGTAGTTATGTTTTGAAAATGCCAAGCACAGAAGAGCTGCCTATCAAAAATTCATAAATTACCTTGTATTAAAAATGATGCAACTGTTTTTTTCTTGTTTGTGAAATTATTTGCTCTGTATCTGGAAGCCTGGAACAGATAATTTGTGAAGTTTGATAACCTTGTAAAAGGCTACTTTTTATAAGGAGATCTGGATTTTTTTAAGAAGTTTTTTTCACTCAGTTTTTGGTGTGAATGAGATGTATTAGCTATTGTTGAAGTGACAGGGCTTCATAAAGCAAAGAAAATGGTAACTGCTTAGAAGGATTCATCTGTCAGCTTTCTGTAATGGGCACATATCCTCAGTGACAAGTACAGTGGTGGCAAACCCAGCCTGTAAACATCCCAAACATCAAGGAAATAGATCCTCTTCAAGATTCATCTGAGCAGACTCTTGTTTATGTTACACAACTGTGATTTTAGCCAAGGACGTTTAGTGTACATTACTGCAGTTCATCAGTATTGCACTGCTGATTATACAGGAGCTCAAATGCTTTTGTGAAAACTTTTTGGAATGCAAATGCTCTTATCAGTCTGGTTTAAAAGCAGTCCATCATTTTGCTGTGATGATAAAGAAAATGTGTATATATATATATATATGATTTTTTTTAAATTGCTTAAGCTGTAGCTTTGAAACTCCCCTCCCAGCCAAAAAGTGCATGTCTCCACAGCTTTCTTTCCACAATCCATCCATGGATGAGGAGGACTTGGAATGAAAACATCCTACCCAACTCTAATTAGAAACAATCACAAGAATGCCAGGTGTCATTTGTACATCCAAAGTCTTCCCATAAATAACTTCCAGTTATTTCCAAAGAATGCTGGAATATATTACAGTACAGACTCTGTGGTTTGTCCCTGTGCAGGCTTTCAGGACTTGGAGAAAATCCTGAAAAGATTGAAAAGGTCTTCTATTAATTGACATCAGTATAAATCATCAAGGCTGTCCTTAAGCTGCACAGCATCTTCTCTATCTAAAGCAAAGAATACACCCTATTCTTTCCAAAATTTTCTTTTCCAAAAAGTTACCTCTCCCATACAACCAGCATAAGTACATCCCATAACTATGTTTTTTGTCTAAAAAAAGCTGTCAGAAGTGACTGTAGGACAGCTTCATATCTAGGACAGCACCACATATAAACCTCTCCCTCTTTGTGTCTTACATTGCTGCCCTTTCCAGAATTCCCAGACAGCTCAAAAGAGAAATCCAGTAAGAGTAAGGTGTTTGCTCAGTAATGGCTGGGTTTCTCCTAACTGGTGCTGACTAGGTAGTACTCTGTTTTCAGAAAGCAGACTCAATGTCTCTGTAGCAGCAGATGCAAAAGGAAAGGTTTGGGTTTTTTTTACCTCTGTCAGCAGAACCTGCTGGCTTCAGGAGGGTTCAGTTGCCTTCAGCAACCTTTGTGTGCAGGTTGTGTGAGCAGCCCTGTGCAGCACTTGCTCCTGAAAGCTTTAAGGAGGGAAATGGCAGCTGGCATCTCATTTTCATAGACCCAGGAGCAGAAAAGAACCTTGACAGGAAAGCTCAAAGGAGAGGCTGCATGGTAAACTTAAAATGTCCTTGAATAAAAAGGCTGTGACGAGTATGTAATGTATTTAAGAAGAGCTTTGCAGGGTAGCTGGATTATTTGCCTGGTTTTCTCCATCCTTGGGTCTCACACAGCAGTTTGGCCACCATTTGAGTGAAGAAGTGCTAAAAGACTTCTTTTTTTTTTTTTTTTTCCCTTTTAGCTTTAGTTTTTTGCTTTCTTCTGTGCTTCTCTGAAATGCTGAGGGGGAGTCAGGCCAAAAAGATGGGTAGAGTGTAAAGCTGTAGGAGGTAGTGCTGTAATCTGTCAGGTGTGGATTCAGCAAGCTAATGTAGTGGAGGGCTTTTCTTTTGGTCAAAACAGCACTGACAGGTAGCATTTTTTTCTTGTTATGTACTGATGTCACCTGTAGCAAGTCCTGTCCTGTGATTCTCAGCATCATGTGGGTCATGGTTTTAGCTAATCAACCCCCTGACCCCAGTCCTGTAGAGGACTTTGGCACTTGTTTCCTGTTCTCTCCAGTGCCAAACTCTATAAATTGATTTAACTTTTTTTCCAACACGCAGCAAGATTGATCTAAACTGCCAGGAAGTGCATGTCTGGGACACTTTGGATGTGTGTGCAGCAGTTATGTGACTTTCTCTTGAGCAAGCAGCTGCTGCAAGAGCCAAAATGGCCCAGAGATGGTTCCTGTGGACTCTGCTGCTGAGCTGGACTTCTCTCAAAAGCTCTACTATAATTAATAAGCAATGTTCTTGGATGAGGTATCTGAGAATTAAGTTAGAAAGCTGAAGGTGGTGGGGATTTTTTTTCCCAAGTGCTAATTGGCATGGGGTAAATTGGAAGTACAACCCTATTCTGATATTTCATAGGTAAAATAAAGAAGTTAAGATGCTACTTTTCATTCAGCACTTCATTGCCCTTAGGACTCTAGGCATGGAGATTTTCCAGTGGTAAACAGCATTTCTGAAACACAATTAGCATTAATTAACATCCATGCTGGGAGTTTAAGCAGAAGCAGCAGATTAGCCCTGTGTTCTGAACCATCTTTTCTCCCTTTGGATATGGCTGTTCATGTACAGGCTGGAAACTTATGTTTGCAGCAAGGAGCTTGTCCTGGGGCTTAGGTCTCCCAGAGCTGTCACAGGAACAGCATTCACACATCAAAGACTTTGTGAAGAAATAAGAAAAGAGCCTTTCTTGGGGAGCAGATGCTACAAGCTTTCCCTGGAACTACAGCATGAAATTTCTGTGCTATAACTGAGTGACTTCCAGCTTTCCCTGTTCCATATTTTATTCGTGTCACTCACAGTTAGAGCTTTTTGTTTGTGTGGGCCACTGAATTGGTTTCCTTGAGGAATTACATTTCAAAGCTATGTGGTGTATGTTGAAATTATAGTAAAAGTACTTTATTTCAACAAATTCTGATACCTTGTATAAGTGTAAAAGTAGGAGTAAGAATAGCTCCCTGAGGTTTTCCTCCAACCTGTTTGAAGGGTTACTTGTGGGTTATTTGCTGTTTGTTTAGTAGACAGACAGTGAGTTCTTTTACTTGGTAGGACAGGCTCCAGTATTGCAATAGAAGCACTACAGAAAAGTGTAAAAGCGTCGGGGGCAGGGGTAAGTGTTTTAAAAAATTACAAATTAAAAGAGAATGCTGTTTCAGTGTGGAGGGATGTGATTCCTGTCCAGCAAGCCTCCTGTTTGTGGTTTGATTTTTGGTTTTATATACAACCACTGATTAAGTGGCAGAATGTTTGGGGGTGTTTTGTTCAGTTATTCATTAGCTGGTTTTGTTTAAAGCTTGGGACTATCTTGACTAAAATCAAGCTACAGTCAAACGTTGTATGGACTTCTGCCATTTGTGATAGGAAAAAAGCTCTACTGGAATTTGATTGGCATTTAAATTTGTGAAATTTTGAGGGCTTCAAGTTGAGCAGCTTCTAATAGACGTGCTTAAAGGTTGTTCTGTGGAAGATTTTTTGTTTTCGTGGTGTCATGCCTATTGATGGGTGACAAAGTACTGTGTCTGGTTTAAGTTGTATAGACTGTTAATAATATGTGTTATGTTTAAAAGATTGCAAACCTGTAAACAACTTCCTCAGGTGTAATCTTATCATCATTGTTCCTAATTTTTTCCAGAAGTTTGGTGTTAATCAGTCTAAGCCAGAATTTACAGTGGATCTCAAAGGGGCTTTGATTGACTGGGCCTCAAAGGACAAATCCAGCAAAAAGAATGTTATTGAGGTAAATTATTTTATTTTATTTAAATGCAGAATTATATGCACTTCAATTACTGATGTAAGAAATTTTCTTTAAGCTTAAAATCAAAAACTCATAAAACTGAGTTTTATGCACTTCTGCCTGCTTCAAAGTAGTTGTTATCCTGGTACCTGCAAGAAGTATCCATTTTTAATATGTCTGTATGAAATATGCTTTTCAATTTAAGCAGACTGTTAGTGGCTATTCTCACTGGTGAATGTTCTTGATTGGCTGTGTATTACCTAAAAATTTTACAAGTGAGAAGTTTAATTTGATTTAGGTAATTTTACTTTTGAACTGTAGTGTCTTTATCAATTCTGATGATATCTGTTTTTATTTCTTTAAAGCTAAAAACTCGTCAAGGTACTGAACTCTTAATTCAATCAGATAATGACAGCTTTATTAATGAATGGTATAAAGTTCTTAACTACACCATCAATAATCAGGTATGTATTTAAATCTCGAAGGTTCTATTTTCACAGGGATATTATTTAGTAAACAAATTGATACAACAACTTCTAAAGCTTCATGTGCATCTTAATTTACTGATTTTCTTGAGAGCAGGCAGGAGTTTGAGGATATGGCAGTTCCAGGGGATAGTGAGTGAAATATAATTAATAGTGGAAAAGGAAGAAAGATGGTCCACTGACTTCAGATCCAGGAGGTGTGGGCTGGCATCCATCCCAGAAATGAAGTTCTGTGCCCAAGTCTCTTGTTCTGTCTCAGTGACCTGAGAGGTTCTGATAAAGAGGGAATGAAAGGGGGAGGATAGCCAAGGGACAACTTCATGACATACATTTGTTAGCATTTGATACTGCTCTCCACTCACTGTGGCTGCACTGAAGTGCAAATCAAAAGCCCTGGCAAAATACTGTACTGTCTCCTCTTATCTGACAGCATAATGCCAAGTATTTAATTATCAGAGAAGTGCTCAAGCATTTGCATTTGATACTGCCAAACAAGATTAACCGTTTTTTAATTCAGAGGAGATCTTGGAGAAAATATTACTCTCATACCAAGTTTACTTCATGTGTATTCTTGCTTTTTAGTAGTTCCAGGCTTGGCTGCTGTCCATAAGCTCCAGTTTTGCTGCTTTCAGTGCCTGTCAGTGGCTTTCATTTCTCTTAGCTCTGATAGTGCTTTTCACATATGGGTGTTTTCCACCAAAACACAGCAGGCTAATATGAATGGTTTGGTTTCTTTCTGACTGCTCATGGTTTAGGTTCCTAATCCCCTGCTCTCTCCTGGTATGGAGATGCCCTTAATACCCAGGCAAGGCAGTGTCACCCAGTGACACCCTTCTCCTGTCTGCCCTGTGTAACACAACTGAGGCCACTTCTTCCCTGCTTAAAAATGAGTGAAGATGGAAAGGCTGAGGTTTGCTTAGCAAGGCATTATGTGTTAGGTTGAAGAAGTGAATGGTGGAATAAGGAGAGTTTATCAGCATTCTGGAGGAAGTGGTGATGTATACTGCTTGGAGCTGGTAGTCAAGAGACCCAAGACTACAAGACATAAGATAAGAAAATGCATTGATAGTTTGAAGCACTGAAGCTTTGGGTACAAAAATCTATCAGATCTAAAGCCAACTTTTAATTTTGGAAAGTTATGGTAATAGCAGCTGTGATTTTTTTCCCCATGGCCCAGGCACTGTTGCTAGCTTGACAAGATCTTCCTCAAAAGAAAGGGCAGATCAGATTCTGTTCTTTTTGCTCCCTCAGGCTGCTGTTGTGGTAATATACTGTACAAGAGAAACAGCTACCTGCACAGGATATAACTGCTCTTTTTTAAATACAAAAATTCCCAAGTTGTTGCTTTAGACTTGTTGCATAGTACAAACTAGATCCCACGTGACTTTTTTCCAAAACATTTAATAGTTTTAAATCCTAATAGGCTTTGAGACCTCTTGAAGAGTGGCAGAAGATCCTTAATGGGGACATTATTTGGGCAGTTGAATATATTGATCTTTGATATGTAAAAAGGCTCTCCAAAGCTTTTGAAAAGGAACAGGAGTGAAGGTGTTTAAAGGTAACACTGCCCTGCAGGTTAAAGTGCAGCATGAAGTCATGCTGCTGCTCACTCAGTGCTCTGGAGTGCACAGCCCTGCCTCATTTTTACAGTTTCCTTCCTTGTAAAAGAAGGCACTCTGCAGTCAGATTTTGGCAACTGCCTGGCAGTCCAGTTCACTTCAGTTGAAGTGAAGTAAGACATACACAGTTTGGGAAGGGAATATGTTGTACTGAAACTGAGGAAGTTTCTTTCCCCATTGCCTGGTATGTTTGCAGTCACACACGTAGCATGGGCTGCAGGTAAGATCAGCAGACTCTGGTACCTGCCTCCACACATGATCTCTGTTTTCACTTGACAATGTTCAGTGAGAATATGCTGAGATAGCAGAAACACAGGGCAAGAATTTTAGGCACTGGTACACTTATTTTTCAGAGTGAATTCAGTGTATGTTTTGACAGTAGTGAGATTTTCCAACTGATAGTTCTATTTTCTATTAAAAATTTTTACTTATAGAGAAAACAAATTAGGTAAATGCTCTAGAAATTTTTTTTCACTCTATCAGTCAAGCATTTCTGTGGCAGACCATTAAATGCTGATGTTTGTCTATTGGATTTGGAAAATAAGCCCAACTAAAAATCATTTCTGTTGTTTATTGGTCGATATAATGAAGTGTCATGAAAGATTGGTTATACTTTGTTCAGTGTCCAGCAACATTTTCTTTGAGTCTTATGATGAAATAGCATTTCTCAAAGTTACTCACTCTGCCAATGAGAGTGGTGTTGCCTCTGAAGATGTTTAACATCTAGAGTTCAGGAAAGAACAAACTGAATGTCCTTATATGGGGAAAAGATTGTGTGTTTTAGAACTGTCTGCAGGAAATGTGTGTATTAATGCTGTATTTTCTGAACTGGCAGTCTGAGCAGTGCATATCTTCTTAAATCCAACAGGTAATAGAGTCTGATGAAGCATTAGACGATGAGGTACCAGATTCACCTGGAGTGGAAAAACAAGACAAAGAGAAAGAAAATAAAGACTCTAAGAAACTTCGTTGTGAGTTGAAAATTTTCCATTAATTCATTCTAGCAATGCCAGTTTTCATTTTCTGCATCTTCACTGTTATGTATAAATAGGGAAAGACAGCTGAAAATGAAACTACTGAAGTTTGGAAACAATCTTAATATAGTTCATTCGACATCATGATTCCACTTGGTAAATTTTCTTCCATGTTTTATTAATCATACTTTTAAAAAAGGAAGAAGAAAAGAAGTGTGAAATGTCTTTAGCTCCTGTTGTATGACACATTTGAAACGGGAAAATAAGCAGTGGTGAAATGAATTATTTTCAAGGTGTTGTCAAATGCCCAGAAACAGTATCTGACTTTAATAAATAGTTTTGAATAAGAATTATTTTGTTGTTTTACTGATTGGAATTGTGTTTTATCTGTGGCACAGCATTCGTAAATATTTGCACTATTAACTTGGGCTGCAATTTTGCTGACTGCTGATGTATTGGCTGTGTAGAGAAACAAAACATTTTTAATTACATCTTCAGAATTTTGGAGCTAAATGTCTTTTAGATGCAGGAATTAACATCCTGTGCACAGAAATACATTAATCAGGCTGACTGTTTTGTGTCTTTTCCTTCCAGGCCCCATATGTAATTTTCAAAAAAGTATTTATTTCTTTCAAGATAGTTAACCTAACGAGAGGCAGGACTGGTTTTGAAACATAGCTATATTTTTAAATTTCCGTATCAATTCCATATATAAGCTACTGTTTAGCTGGTTTTGCAAGTTTTTAGTGACAGGGATGCCTCCTGGAAGTTTGAAAAATGGATGCTATTTACAAGAAGTTCCAGAAAGTTACAAAAAAAGTTAGGGATGTGTTGCAAATTTGAATAGCTTTTTGGGTGTTCTGGAGTGTAATTGTTTTTTTCTTTTAATGTTGGTTCCTTGGCTGATAAATACAGTGTTGGTTCTGTGGGTAGTAATGTTAAATGTGTTTCTCTTTTCAGCAGTGAAAGCTCCCAGCAATATAGATTCCACAGATCAGAAAAAGACCAAAACAAAGCTCAAGAAGTTTCTTACACGGCGCCCTACATTACAAGCTGTCCGTGAAAAAGGCTACATTAAGGGTAAATGAACCTTTTTAACAAAGGATGTAATTCGAAAAGCTGAATTTAGTAGTTCATGTGTAAAATGGGGTTTAAATGGTCTAGTTTCAGAGTAAAATACATGTGTATAGTTGGTTTAACAAAAGTCTTGGCTGTATAGTGGAACTGGTGATTGCTGTACTTCTGAGTGCTGTTACTAGCCATTAAACTGCTCTGGGGATGCCCTCTCCTTCGGCTCACTGCTGGCCAAACTGCAGTGAAAACGGGGGCCCAGGAGTGCATTTGGACTTGGACTCTCTAGCTAAGAAGCACTGCATTCCACCCTTCTGAGCTGGAAATCCAGATATCTGACCCTCATTTGTGCAAACAGGGGAAAGAACAGCCCTCCGGGTACAAAGCTGAGTGCTTGTGCTCACCTGTTTCACAAGGGTGTTGTAGTCCATGTGGAACCAGACAATCATGTGCCATATCATAAGAAATGAAATATTTAGGAAAACCAGGATGAGGTTACAGGAGTCTTAACTTAAACATTTTTCCCATAACATTTTTTGAATGTATACATTGTTTTAATTGTTTCATGAAGAGTGTTACAGATACTCTTGAATCAAAGTTATGAAATATTTCTTTTTGTCACACTTGTAGAAATTTGAGAGAACAGTATTTGCACAGGTTTAAGTTAATGTGTTTGTGTAAATTATTGACTTGGTACTCATTGTAAAACTTCATTTATTTATTTATTTGTATGCTTTAGCAGGATTTGTAGGTGGTGCTCTACTAGGGTCAAAATAGCATATGGGTAGGCAAATACCAGACCAAACCCTACTGTGATTTGCCTCACCGCATACTTTAACAGGTGTGCTTCTGTTGCATGTGGCATTTGATATATTTGTGTATCTGCAAATATAATTTACATGTAAATGATGGAAATTTTCTTTGGAATAGGGAAGCATTATTCCCAGATTTTGAAATTTTGCTCTGCTTTACAACTTAGTATTCATGTCATGGCTCAGTGACGTAACTTCTGACATTGGCAACAGTGAACACTAAGCCAATTTAATTTGTACATGTGCGTGCTGATGATTGGATTTTTAATAAAGGCGTTAAGGAATGAAGAGTTTGGTTTTTATTTAAAAGCATGGTGTAAGTTTTTAAAGTTGGATTTACAGCTTTACATTTGTTGTGTGAATGAAGAATACAGAAATCTTCATTTAAAAGCCCAGTGTACTTTTGTGGCTGCTGCAAAACAAGCTTAGTAAATAGAAAGCTTAGCAAATCCAGTATGAGCAGAAAAATTAGTGAAAAGTTCTGGAAGAAAAAATCCACTTGAAACAGCATGCACTAAGTGGAGAAGGAACTGTGTTAAAGTTTTGTAACATGGAAAATGAAAAGTACAGAAATTACTTTATGATGTGAAGAAAAAATACTACTCCTGTATATGTTGAAATTATTAAAGTCGAAGGCAATTGTAGCAAATTACTTTGTTACATGCTACTATTTTCTTCTGCTACCTAATCTGCATTGCTTTACCTGCCACAGCTGCATGCTAGCCTGGCTTTCTGCTGCGTGGGCTTTTTCAATCCTTTGCTACTGATTCTGCTTATAAAGCTCGCTGCGTGAGTAGCTGCCACAGCACTGAGGTGGTGTGGACCACTGGCCGTATCATATCCAGCTAATAATGCCATTAAATGCCCATTTTCATAATGTAAAATTGGTTTGATGTGCTATTTGGATTTCCCAAAGCTGTAGTCAAGATGCAAGAGTTGTTAATCTACTGAAATTATTGAATATGAAAAGTGGGCTAGATGCTGTGCATGATGCAAATGCAAGAGCAGACTCTTTTGCTGAAGCTCTGAAGTAAGATACATCAGATTCTGGGAAGATGGCCACTTATGAGCCTAATTTACCAGAGTAAACAAACCAACAAACACCCCTTCCCTTTAAGAGCAGGATCTTTGCTTCTCTTATCTCAAGACCTCATGTCACCCTGTGCATCTGAACAGAAGAGGCCATCTATTATTTGGGCATCTTTGATGAAAGCCATAGAAGTGGATCTGTCAAAGATTTTGTGATAACAATCTGAGCAAGAAGAATTAACATGTTGCTAAAATTCACTGAGATGTTGCAAGATTCTCCTCTCTGTCCAAACTGATTTTCATTTTTGCTCCACTTATAATGGAAAATACTCCCCCTGGATTGTGCAGTTTTGAAAATAAGACTCATATTTACCATTGCCCATAAATATCTGTATTAAGAGTCTGACCTTGCAGCCAGGTTGCCTATTCATGGTCAGACTTGCATCCATTCAGAGCTCTGAGGTAAAAGTCTGTCATTTACAGATTTGTGTCAGAACTTAAAAATGTCAGAATATTCTATGTTAAAGTAAATTATTATATAATGCTATGTTAAACAGTGGGTGCAGTGAAAGATGACATTTTGCAGAGTTTCTTCCCAAGCAATGCCAAAAGCTTTCACTCCAGTTGAATTTCATTCTCTTCGAAATTTTAACGAAGATTGCAATAAATGCATGTTGAACTTGGGACAGGAATGGAGGACACATTTGAATCCATTAAATTTCTTATAACATTATTGATGAAATGACTCTTAAAAGTATCACCTGATGGATTAAAATTATTTCAGTAGCAAAACTTCCTTTCTTGGAGGCTCACGTTTGTGTAGCTGCTGACTCTCTTCTTACTGGGAGCTTTTTCTCGCTGGGAGCTGCTGAGAACTCTTTTCAAAACTTTCCTATTTCCTCTCCACTGCTGCGACAATTGTATCCAGTAGACTTTGCCCTTTGTAGAGGTTTGTTTTAACCTGAACTAGTTCTGTCACTCGAGTCCTGTTCCACTGTAAATCAGTCTCTTTACTTGGTTCCAGATCAAGTTTTTGGTTCAAATCTCACCAGCTTGTGTCAAAGAGAAAACAGCACGGTGCCAAAGTTCGTGAAGCTGTGCATTGAGCATGTTGAGGAACATGGTATGGTTGAAATTTTTTTGTTTACAAATCTCTCTAGCTCACCATTCCTAATGTTGAAAATTTTAATCTTAAAATACTGTTGCTTTATTTGGGGAGAATAATCTGGAACTTGTATCTGGAGGTTAGCATTGGGTTTTCATGAGTGAGGACATAGGTGGGATCCAAAGCGGGGAGAAGGGAGGAAATCTTTTTGTCTGAGAAACTGATCTGCTTCAGTATATTTTAAGCTGAGCAGAAGGCAGGACAGCCTCCTGGCAGCAAGGCTCCAAGGGAAGAGGGATTACAAGAAGTAGTAGAAGAGCTCAGCTCATCAAGCTTGTATTTTTTTCAGATTAAAAGTGAGATTATTGAAATGCAACTATTCATTTTTGGAAGGTTTAAGCATGCTAACAATCACTTCTATTAAAACTTCCTTGAAATGAACTTTCAGGAAAAAGTTTTGTTCCTGCTCTGTGTATGCACTGACTGCCAGAAGACCAGTCTGTTGGTTTGATGCGCTTCAGCCAGTTACACAAATTGCTAAATTTTATGCAATTCTGGAGATTATCAGTGTCCACATATTGACTCAGTTATTGTTTGCTTTCATTGAAAATATGCATTTCCTACCTAATAACTGAGAACACTTTGTTTGGAAGCTACACATGACATTCTGGGTTGTCTGCTGTCAAGCCCATCTTTTCACATTTTTTTTTGAAAATTTGTCAGTTGTGACTCCTGACTTGACTGTAGTCTCTGTGGGTTTTCTTGCCTGTTTCTTGCTGTTGTCTTTGCCTTATCTCTTGGAAAACATGACTGAGAGGGGATTATGGCATCTCCATAATCATCATTCAGATATTTACCAGTCCGTTAATCTGAGAGCATTCTCTTGAGTATCAGGGTAAGTGTTACAGGGGAATACATGTGAATTCTAAGGCATCTTCCATGGGAACTTCATTTAGCCTGTAGTCCTTTGTCAATGATTCTTATGTCTTATGGCCTTGGGAGGGGAGAAAAACTGCTTCCCTTGCATTACTGCAGTTTGACAAACTGCTACCTTGATTGTGGCAATAGGCTTTATTTCATTTGTGGTCTGAAGATTGTGAGAAAGGGGTTATTTTGCTTTGTTCTTTTTTTGTTCCTTTTTTTTTTAATTTCTTTTTTATTTTAAAGGCAGGACTACAGTGAAGATAGTGAAGGTTTCCTTTTTTAAATACCTAAGGGGAAGCTGACAGAAATGAACAGCTTTTTTTTCCTACCTCTCCAACTCCTCTTCCTTCTACCAATACACTTCAAATCAGTTCTTTCTGTAAAGGAATGACTAGTGGATTATGGGGAAAAGGGATATGTCAGATGGTGCTGGTAACTGTGCTGTGTTGAATCAGACAACTCCTTGAGGAGCTACAGGGACTTGCAGGTATTCTGGCAACACTCGTCCTCTCAGTGGCACTGACTCACCTGCTGCATCCAAGTGGCTTTTCAGATAAATTCTTTATCTCCTAATCACTGCTGAATAATTGCAGTAGCAACCACAGAGACACAGTTTTCTTCTTTTCTGGTCGACTGTGCAATCCAGTAAGGCAGGGGCTGCCCATTTTAGTTCTGTAGGCTGTTGGATAGCTCTAGGTGTGCATGTACATTGTTCCTCCTGCACATAAGCCTGGTCACTTGACAACTTTGAGATGCTCTCTATGCATGACTTCATAGGACTTCTCTTAACCATACATTAAAAATTGAACATTGTATCCACAAAATACCTGGTTATTGCATGTTGGACTCCCATGTATTCCCTGCCCACCCACCAAGACCATCTTAAACAAGACGTCTGATCTCATTGGGGAAACTTGGAGCTGTTGCCTCATTACTACTTGAATAGGAAGTTTTAGAGATTACTTTGAGCTCGATGCTGCCAAACTTGTGTCAGCAAATTAAACCTCCTCTGTCTTAAATGCCCTGCTGCCCATCAAAGCAAGCTAGTTTAACTTTTTATTTCTTTGTTACAAGGTGGGTTTCCTTTGCTTTTAATTTTGCTGAGCAGACCTATACATATGTAAGGTATTAAAATGGATTTATCCCTTTGTTTCAGGTTTAGATATTGATGGCTTATACAGAGTTAGTGGAAATCTTGCAGTGATACAGAAGCTGAGATTTGCAGTCAATCATGGTAAGCTTCCTCCAATTATATTACAATGGCATATATTTTCAGATTGGTGAAGTTCATAGAAAGCTAAGGAAAAAGATTTTTCTAACTGAGTATGTCATGAGAAATGACTGTCATCTTCGAAGTAAAGTTATGTCAGAATTACACAACTGACTATGTAACATACATCACTTGAAAAACCTGATATTCTGGAGGTTTATTCTCGTGTGGATCACAGAGGTTTTGCTAGAACAGAATTCTAAAAGAAGATGGTAATAGAATTTGAGGAAGGGGGTTTATTTCAAAAAAATAACTCATTGCCTTTTGGAAAAACGGCAAGCATATTAAGCTTCCACTTGCATTAAAATTGTAAGTTAATTTTTTAGTGAGATTTGCTACTGCCTTTTAGAGGGAAGAGGACTTAGCTCCTCTTCACTGTACTCTATGTATAAAAACCTTTCTTCTGGCAGTATCTCAGTACAGCCCATCCACAATCTGACCTCTCGTTTCCTGATTGACAGGATCTAACAGTAAATTTTGTGTTATGTCAGCAGCTCCTGTTCCCTTCTGGAAAATGCCCTAGGAGTAGGGGAACTGTATGTAGTGCAGTAGTCAGAGTTTAGCCATCTCCATCTGCTGCTGCAGCTCTGTATCCCAGAATGGGGTACGGAATGTGCTGAAGTGGAGCGAGTCTTCACTGCTTTGAAAGCAATAAGTACAGAAGAATAGTTGAGTTAATTTTTAAAAAATAGCTTTTCTAGTTGAAGAATTATCATTAATTATTTATATTTTTTCCTCTCAGATGAGAAGCTGGACTTGAGTGACAGCAAATGGGAAGATATACATGTCATTACAGGAGCTCTAAAAATGTTCTTCAGAGAATTGCCAGAGCCACTGTTCACTTACAACCACTTCAATGACTTTGTCAATGCAATCAGTAAGTCTGGAGAACTTGCATATGGTGTTTGGATAAATCCTGTACAATTTTTAAAATCATTTTGGACATAAGAAGAAAGTTTTGGTTGTGAACTGATGACTTGTCCGGAATTGCCTGTCCGTGATGCCGGGGCTGGCCGGGAGGTGGCAGTGTCCTATCTCGGATTCGCACTGCAAACCGTGCCTTTCACTCACAGCCTCTTAAATTCTGTGCTGAAGTTTTAAATAAAAACACTGAACTTTTGTTTCTCAACCTCACCCTTTTGCAGAGCAAGAACCAAGGCAGCGTGTCCCTGCTGTTAAAGATTTAATCAAACAGTTGCCAAAACCAAATCAGGACACGATGCAGGTACTCTTTAGACACCTGAAAAGGTAAGTAACAGAAGGAAAGGTTTTGTGTTGCTGATCCTCCCTTAAAGATAAAGAATCCAACTAAAAGTTACCAAGGGACTGTTCTTACTGCATTTTTTATATTTAACTTGATAAAAGCAGTGTATCAGTCTGTTTGGATATGATCTTGCAGAGCATCAGCCTTGAGATAGTGTGTTTCATAGACGTGATGTTTGCTGCCAAGTCCTTTAGAGGGACTGTGAGAGGTCCAAGAATGACATCTCAAAACAAAACTTTTTTCATAGAGAGGGGAATTACAGCAGCTGTATGTCCTAATAGCAGGGCTACTCATTAAATAAATACTTTGAATAGCCATTTGCTTTGGGATGTGTCTTTTTCTGTCATCTGTTGCCCTAACACTGATAAATATCTTTATTCTTTTTCAGAGTTGTAGAAAATGGAGAGAAGAACCGAATGACCTATCAAAGTATAGCAATAGTTTTTGGTCCAACCTTATTAAAACCAGAGAAAGAGACTGGTAACATAGCAGTCCACACAGTATACCAGAACCAGATTGTAGAGTTAATTCTACTGGAATTGAATTCCATCTTTGGACGCTGACATTTTTCTTGGAGAAGAAACTGGAAGTGATGGGTTGGCAGCAGTACTTCATCAGAAGGAAAATCTCTTGCTGTATGTGATGTTTTATGTTTGTGGACCAAGCAGCAACTTGTTTTTTGCACTTTTGGGGAGGAGAGAAACAGGAGAAATGTTTGACCACTTTAAAGTGAATTAAAGACAACACTTCAGATTTCTTTGAAAAGTTCAATATAAAAAGTGAATTGAAAAGTTTATAGTTTGCCTTTTTAAGTATCATTGGAAAAATTTAATGTAGGTTCATACACTGGATTTCTCGGAGAGTAAAACTAATAATCTCAGACTGGATAATCTGGAATTTAATCTCGAAATTCTTCCATATGATGGGGAAAAGTTCTACCATTTTTCCTGGTATGGAAAAATTCAGTGAAGTCGCATCTTAAGCTTGTTTATTACAACGTACTTACATCTGTATGACACACTTTTCCAAGGGGTTTCTGCATGCAGTGACTGTCATAGACTTGCACTAACAATTTCATTTAGTTATTCAAATCTAATTCTTCACTTGGTATCTGCTGCCCTCTTTCCTTCTTTTTCTCCTGTTTTTCTGTTGTTGGGGTTTTTTGTTTATTTTTTTGGTTTCTTTTTGTTTGTTTGTTTGGGGGGTTTTGTTTGGGTTTTGTTCTTTTTTTTGTTGTTTTTTTTTGTTTTTTTGTTTTTTTGGGGTTTTTTTTGGGTTTTTTGTTTTTGTTTTTGTTTTTGTTTTTGTTTTTTACTTCTTTCTTTTTTTTTCCCCAGCAGCCTCTCTGGAAGTTCTTTGCTGCTTCATAGAGCAGCACACTATTACACTATTTCAAAAACTGAACTTTTAAAAATATCCAGCAATAGTTTTTTGTCTTGGGACATAATAGAAGTCATATTTAATAAACGTGTTCATTTTTTCAGGGTATGTCCTGAGCTAAGTTTTATGTTATACTGATCTAAAGCTAAAGCCCTAAGTAAATACCAACTGTAACACTGTATTGAGTTCTTGGTATAATGCTGTGGTAGTGGAAATTCATTCTTGATGTAAATACAGGCTGTCCTTTTGATTCCTGTATATAATTCAGTTCCTGTATAGTTAAAGAACACTTTAGTCACACATTTCTAATCATGGGTAGATTAGCTACAGTAGCATAATATTTCCAGTGGATGTCTGGGTTTCAGCAGGGAAACAGGTTATGGGGAGGGAGGGAGATCTAACTGTGTGCACTTTTAGATGTTAATTACATTTGCGGGCAAATAACTGTAATGCAAATGGTACTGGAGAAATACTGAGTGTGCTTGCTAAATTGTTAATGCACTACAAGAAGAGCCTTTTAGGTTATTTAATATGTACAGGATACATTAGAAATATGTAATATGAATTCTAACATCTGCAGATAGTGAAAGTCATGTTTTGATAGATAGATGTTTGATGGAATCCACAATGCTAAATTTAAGATTTTCTTTTTACATTAATGTAGAATAATTTGTAAAATTGGTTTTGAAAGATTTTGTTACAGGGAGCATGGTCTGCTGAAGATTTTTTTAAATGTATTTTTCTAGACTAACTGCTGTATCTGACATATTTGTTATGTCTAACCTGAATAAAGAAAAACAATAGTTCTTTTAGAGTTTACCATACCCACTTCAGCCAACACAAACCCCCTTTAAACAAGACCAATGTATCTTACCCCTTAGCATGGATGGATCCTGCTTGTGACAAAGAGCTGTCACACTGGACTGAAATATGAATGCCTACTTTATAACATGACAATTTTAGGAACTTCCCAGTCCCCTTCTTTAACAACTTGAATTCTGACATAAAGTTTCAGAGAGGGCAGAAGTAACTTATGGGTATAAATTTGCAGTCTGTAAAACACATCCCAGCTTAGAGCCTGCTGTACAGGAAACACTTAGGTAGAGGAAGGGGGGATTGTGTCAGCAGCCTTAGGTCTGCTGTGTCCCTCTCACACACAGCCCTGGCTGGCAGCACAGGGGATGTGTGGTGACACACTGAGCTGGAACCAGACTGATGGTACAAGAATTTCACGAGCATAGGGTTTGCATGAAAAGTTTTTGGAGATGAGCGAGAAGATAGTAACCTTGTGGCTTTCTCGGTGTCTTCTTGTGGTAATGGTGAAGTCTTGTGGTTTGTTGCAAAGCGACCTGGGTGAGAGCTGTGAAAGCCCTGTCTCAGCAGTGTGTTGTCAGCCTGCCTGGGGCTGGCACACAGAGCAGTGCTGAGCCTGTGCCCTGACCTGCTAGGAAATATCGACAGAGTTGGAATCTGTGGCTGTACGTTATTCAAACCCTGCCTTTGGCTGTAAAGAAAGAATTCCTGCTGCTACATGAGAGGGCTTGTTCACCAGTCACCTTTTGTTGCAAGTGTTACCTTTTTCAAAGCAAGAATGCCTTTTTAAAGCAATTTGATAATGAGGATGTCACACTTTTCCTTGTATTCCCCCAAAATAAAGCATTTTGTTATTACAATATCTGGTATGGTTTTGTGCAGTGGTCTTAACGTTCTAATTTTTAGTTTGGGGAGGGGAGAGGAGTTTTTTAATTGAAAGAGGTATAGGCAAACACTTGAGACATTCAGGAAGAGGAGGAAGTCCAAGCTGATGGTATATTTGTTGTGACCAATGTGAAACTCTGTATGTCACCATATTTGATTTCTTCACTGCTTGAAATGTTTTGTCTTGTTCCTGCACTTAGCTTTCTTTTAAATAATCCAAATGAGGGATTTGCACAAACACACCAGGGGTAAGCTATGTGTATCAGATGAAACATAGTTAATTTTATATATTTCTCAGTTCAGGCTCTGTATCAGATTTGGTTCTGGTTTAAAATCAATTTTAAACCTGAATATAATTTTTTGGGGGCCATAACCACTCAAAGGATACTGGAGGTCCAACATTATGTATTGGTGCCAGCTGAAACGTTTGTTCCACCTCTAGAGTTGGGTTCAGCTCTGTAGTTCAGCTACACAGCAGTAGTACCAAGCGACTTTCAGTCATGCTTGATCTGTACTGGTTACAGCTTTCTTCACTTTGAAGCTGGAGAGAGAAGTGGACACAAAAAAGACAAGGCAAACACGCACAGTCATTTCATGTAAACTAATTTTTTATGTTGGAATTGCATGCAGGAAGCTTTATTTACTTGTGAGTGGATAGGTCATGCTTACTGTCCAGGCTCAGGAAAGCCTCCCTATCTTCACAGAAATCCATGATAAATTCCCTTTGTATTCAACTCATTGTATCCCGGCAAGCGAGTCCTCGCCTTGCAGCCTGAGAGAGAAGGGAGTTTAGAGGTTACACAGTATCAGCTTATTCCAAGGCCGAGCTGACTTCTTTCCCCTTAAAGGGAACAGCTTTATTTAGCCCTAAAGTGGTGATATTTTCAGAATCAATTGGTTAATTCATAAGGCATAACGTAAGCCAGGCACAGTAGGGCATTCTGCTGGCCCAGGGGGAGGGACAGCATGTCTGATGAGGCTGCCCGCAGCCGCTGGGGACAGGAGAGCTCCTCTGGAGAATCTTAATTAGCCTCCACAATTGTCAAGTTTTGTGGGCAAGCAGCTGGTAGGACTGGATCAGGCCTTTACAAAAGTAGCCCTATGTGAATGTGGGACTTAAATGAACATTCCCCCCCTCTCCAGCTCCCCCAGCATTCTTGTAAACAGAGCACTTGTAAAACAAGCTCACACTGTGTAACAAACCAACATGAAAGACATTCAGAGGCGACTTGGCCTCTCAGTCCTTTTTATTGCCTTGAGAATTAAATGGCAGCTCTGATATTAGTTTCCTACAACTTCCCCAAACAGATTCTAATTCCTTAAGGTACTCAGCTGCTACTTTAAAAAAATAAAATCTGTGTTGTGTTCAGCAAACTCAGAACTGCAAAGTGGAACAAGCAGGTATAGTGCCAGTTTTATTTCTCATAGAATCTCATCTTACAGCTTATTACACTAAAATATAGGGGGCTGGGGAAGGGAAGAGAGATCCTGAGTGTGGAAATAAGTAAATGCAGAACACTGAAGGCAACAGACAAAGCAGGTGTGATGGACAGGCAAGATAGCAAAGAAACATTCACTCAGAACTGCAGGAATCCAGTTCCCAGAGACCTGGGAGAGAGCCAGGCTGCCAAGAGTGTGGGCTGGAGTTGCTTTTTATTTTTTCTTCCTTTCAACGTCTTACAATACAGATGAAGGCCCAGCTATGTTTTTCAAGGGTAATTTGCTCTGTGAACAGGTGGAGTTAATTGACATTGCAAAGCAGCAGTACCTGCCTTTCTCCATCTTTTCTGGAGTTGCTTCTATGTGTCAGCTCCTCAAGGATGCATTTGTGTCTCACTCCCCTGGACACAAACACCTGAGTGCTAATGGGAGTCAAGAACTATGTCCCTTCAACCAGCATTTGTGCAATACAAAAATAAACTTGTTCTCAGTTTGGCAGTGTTGTTCTGGTGGCACTGAAGGCCTCATCCAAGATCCAGCCCTTGTGGCACCAGATCCTGGGAAGCACAGGTGGTCCTGTCTGTTACAACCTCAGCACACCAGAAGAAACAAATACATGAAGCTCAAAAGTGTGAGTATGCCAAAAAAAATAAAGCTCCAAGCTAAACTATCTTCACAACTAGTTTAGATCTGCATGCACAGTACAAATCTGCTCAGAATAGCTTGTTAATTCAAAGTGTGAAAGAAACAGCTGTCCTCTAAAAAATTAAATACTGTAATTAAAAGCTGTCATTTCTTATATCAGGCATTGGAAGATACATGTTAAACATTGGTCAGCCTGTCTAGTTCACCAAGTGCTGCAGCCAAATAACTGGAATCAAGCCACTGGCAGTGTTTCCTGGCCACTGATGTGCCAGTGCTCTCTGCTTTTACAAAGAGGGTGATGCTGAGCTGGTGGTGGCTTTGTGGCTTCCTGTATGCAAGTGTCCTAACTAGTTAGTTGTTCCAGTAAAGGAGGTAACTAACCTAGAAACAGAAGTGAAAAATCGCCTTTTTACAAGAAAAACTCTCCTATTAGCCTGGGCTGGGCTGTGCAGGCACTTGAGCTGCACAGTGCTGTCACCAAGCTCGGCTGCCTGCTGCAGGGATGTTCTCCCCCGGCACTGAGTGCATCTTCTGGGGGTGCTGGCCTTGCCAAGGCCTCTGCCAGCACACACGTGTGACCTGCTCGACTTCACAGCTTCTGTGAAGGAAAACTGAGACATGGTTGTGCTAAAGGTAATGCCTCTCTGGCAGGTTGAAGGATGCCACTGTATTTCCTGCTATGAAGAAGCTGTTTCAGAGCTAAATGCTGTTCTCACTGACTGATATGCTAGTCCTGCTCTAATCCAGCTCGGACCTTTTGCTTCCTTATTTGTACAACAGTGTGGAGCCCAGGGGCTGGAATGTGCTGTGCTCTGCCCAGAGCACTGCTTCCCTGGCGGAGGCTGAGGCATGGGCCACTCAGCCGTAGACACTTCATCACAAAGCAGGCATCAGCCTAAAAGCATGGACTAG